AAAATAGAGGCCTTTTAGATACTCATCGAGATTTTCGTCTCTAACTAGCTGTAAGTTACAGTCTTGCTCCAGAAACTAGATTTCCAGGAGCTCTTGCCGATGCAGTACAGGCCTATTTTCACTTGATATCGATGTATAAAGTAAAGCCTAGCCAAATAGTTATTGTGGGGGATTCGGCAGGAGGCGGTTTAGCCATGTCGCTTTTAATTTACCTTCGTGACCATTGTTATCAGCTTCCAGAAGCTTCTATTTTACTTTCAGTAAGTCTAGATACTGTTATTAAAATTATGCAATTAACTTTAGATTAAGCCCTGGGTAGATCTCACATATGGTCATCAAAGCTGGCTAAAAGCAGAAATGTATGATACTTTACCTCCACGTCCGCATATAAATGCTCTTGTAAATCCAGCGCGGTTGTACCTAGGACCGGACCAATACCGCAGATTGAGTAGACACCCATACGCTTCACCATTATTTGCGAATAACTATGACAATCTACCACCAATATTGATTCAATCAGGTGGCAGTGAAACAATGACAGATGAAGTACGATCATTTGCCGATAAATTTGCAGAGTGTAAGAATACCATGTCCAAACATGAAGAATATGAGGTATTTAATCTTAAGTAATCACGGGGCAAATATTTACAATCACTGTATGTTTTATAGGACATGATTCATGACTTCCAAGCATATCCTATTAAAAAGGCCAGGGTGGCGTTTTTGAATATGCAAAAGTGGATTCAATTTGATATAAAACAACCGAAGGAATTATATTGCGCAAAAAAAGAAACAGTTAAATAAAACAAGATACACTTGGTATTTTTTGTGTAACATGTGTAGCCTTTATCTTGTTATGATAAGAGTGTGATGTGAAAAATTATATATATATATATATATATATCGCTTCACCAGCTAAAATCGGACAGATTAGAATTTACTCACACTGATAGTTAAACGTGATAAAAAGATAGCTGTTTTTGTTTCTATTTTTCGAATGGAGGTGGTTTGTGATTTGACAGTGAGCAAGGAAAAGGGGACAAACCGGTAATCTATGCTTATCTTTTTGAGTCCTTTTTCCAGCCCAGCTGTCGTACAGATCTTGAGCAAACAAAAATATAACCCACTTTTCTTTTTTTTTCTCTTTTCAACTTTTTTTTTAACCTTTTTCAACCTTCATACTATGCATTTGATACCGAGAGAATTAGATAAACTTTTACTGCATCAAGGTATCTTTTTTTTTGTACAATATGGTTAATTGTAATCCTTTTACTTATAATCCCATAGTCGGTTCTCTTGCACAAAAACGTTTGGCACGTGGCGTTAAATTGAACCGAACAGAAGCCACTGCATTAATTGCTTCCCAGTTATTAGAGATGATGCGAGATGGTTGTTATTCGGTTTCCCAATTAATGGATATTGGTAAACAGCTACTTGGCAGAAGACACGTTATGTCTGATGTATTTCAAACATTACATGAAGTACAAGTAGAGGGTACGTTTCCGGATGGCACATACTTGGTAACTGTACATGATCCAATCTGTACGGATAATGGTAATCTTGAAATGGCATTATATGGTAGTTTTCTTCCTATTCCATCCGAGGAAAAGTTCCCATTGCCGCCCCAAGTCCAGCGTAAGGATGCTCCTGGTGCCATTATCGTCAAGCCTGGTAAGATTCATTTAAACGTAGGCAGAAAAAGACTGTCACTTTCTGTTACCAATTATGGCGATCGCCCCATTCAGGTAATATTATATTAGTGCTACTAAAGACAAAAAGCTAACAAGTTTAATTTTCCAATAGGTGGGATCGCATTTTCATTTTATTGAGGCCAATGCAGCTCTACATTTCAACAGAGCTCTAAGTTATGGTATGCGGCTCGATATTCCTGCTGGTTCCGCTGTTCGTTTTGAGCCTGGAGATTTCAAAACCATTACATTAGTTGAAATTTCTGGCAATAAGGTTATTACAGGTGGTAATGGTCTTGCATCTGGACCGGTTGATTTTATTCGCTTACCCGAAATTATCAACTCATTATCAATTAAAGGATTTATGCATGATGCAAATGCGCCTTTACTACCAACCCCATCAAATACTACTTTGGACAGAGAATATTATGCCGATCATTTTGGTCCCACAACAGGAGATTTGGTTCGTCTCGGGGATACCGAACTTTGGGCTTGTATAGAAAAGGATTTTACTGTGTACGGCGATGAGTGCAAGTTCGGTGGTGGAAAAGTATTACGTGAAGGTATGGGTCAAGCGACAGCAAGATTAGATCATGAGGTTTTGGATTTGGTTATTACAAATGCCATGATTATCGACTACACCGGAATTTACAAGGCTGATATCGGTATAAAAAAGGGCATTATCGTTGGTATAGGAAAGGCCGGTAACCCGGATGTGATGGATGGTGTAACTCCAGGTATGGTTGTGGGAGCTGGTACAGAAGCATTGGCTGGCGAAGGCAAAATTTTTACAGCTGGCGCCATTGATTCACATGTACATTATATTTGTCCACAGTTGTGCTACGAGGTAATCAATAATAATAATAAAATTAATTTCTGGAAATTAAGCATGGTCAATTTTTATAGTCATTATCAAGTGGCGTAACCACTTTGATTGGCGGAGGAACAGGTCCTAACACCGGTACAAATGCCACTACTTGTACGCCTGGTAATCATCATATTGAAATGATGATGAAAGCTACAGATGATATCCCTATGAACTTTGGCTTTACTGGTAAAGGAAATTGTTCTAATAAAGCCGAACTGGTGGAGCATATCAAAGCTGGCTGCTTAGGGTATGTTATATAGTTTCTAAAAACTTGCTTTGCCGAATCTCATATGCCCTAATTTCTATAGATTAAAACTCCATGAGGATTGGGGAGTAAGTTAATATAATAATAGTTGAGACATATGAGCTAATTTAAGTGGTGTTTCGCTAGACAACCCCTGCGGCTATTGATGCATGTTTACAAGTTTGTGACGAATTAGATGTTCAGGTAAAATACAGAGACAGTATTTTGAATTCGGAAAAAAGTATTTACAGATTATATTAGGCAACAATTCATACAGATACATTAAACGAAGCAGGTTTTGTTGAATCTACGATTGCTGCTTTTAAGGGTAGAACCATTCATACGTATCATAGTGAAGGTGCTGGAGGGGGCCATGCGCCAGATAGTAAGTTATCCTAGTTTTATATTTTCAGTGTGCTGATTAAATGTAATAGTCATCACTGTTTGTAGTGAACCCAATGTTTTACCTTCTTCTACAAACCCAACACGACCCTTTACTGCAAATACATTAGATGAGCATGTGGATATGTTGATGGTCTGTCATCATTTGTCTAAGTCGATTCCTGAAGATGTAGCTTTCGCCGAGAGTCGAATTAGGGCCGAGACAATTGCAGCAGAGGACGTGTTGCATGATATTGGAGCAATTAGTATGATAAGTTCTGATTCTCAAGCTATGGGAAGAGCAGGAGAAGTCATTCTTCGTACTTGGAAAACCGCAAGTAAAATGAAGCAACAACGAGGCACATTAAAAGAAGATCTTGATTCTGAGGGTGATAATTTCAGAATTCGCAGATATATCGCAAAGTACACAATTAACGTGTAAGTATAGTGATTAAAAATAGGGAGAATGCCAAACTAACACCGTACATATATTTAGGGCGTTAGCTCACGGTATCGGTCACATTATTGGGTCGATTGAAGTAGGAAAGGTAGCTGATTTAGTCTGTTTCACGCCTGAATACTTTGGTTCTAAACCTGAGCTTATATTAAAGGCCGGTGTCATTGTTTGGGGTCAAATGGGTAAGTAGTATTATACTTTATTTTTTGGGGATTAAAATATTAAAAACTAATATAGGTGATGCCAATGGATCTATTCCAACAACACAGCCAGTTATATCTAGACCCATGTACGGTGCCAACGCCTCTAGCTTGTCTTCTTCTTGCCTCATATTTGTATCGCAATTGTCATTGGATGAAGGCATTGTTCAAGGTTATAAACTTCGTAAACGAGCAGAAGCAGTCAAAGGATGTCGTACGGTGGCAAAGAAAGATATGCACTTGAATGATGCCATGCCAAAAATCACAGTAGATCCTGAAACTTACAAGGTTCAGGCCGATGGAGAGGATTGTGTTTGTGATCCTGTCTCGTCATTACCATTAACACAATCTGTGTACCTATTCTAAGCTAATATTTATAACCTCTGTAAAAAAACAAAATGATCGAAATCTGTATAATTTACTCACCCCTAATAATTAAATTGGAACAATGTTATTCCTTCCTCCCGTTACTCAATTTCCGTATAGTGAAAGTGGCAACAGAAGTAAACGGATAACTTTGGTTACTAAAGTATCCTGACCGAGAACTATCCTAATCGGGATACAATGATTGTTCCATACCATATGCTTTATGCCATTCATCTGACGTTCACATTGCGTATTCCTCCGGAAAATTTGTTAGTAGCAGTGATTGTACGAATAGTTTAGTTTAAGCGTTTGGATGGAATTAACATGCGTAGGGTAGGCACATAATGTTTTCTATTTTTAGACAATTTTACATTTAAAAGCGAGAAAGTAAGCTGTTGCGACTTGTAAGTTTTCAAAATAATGTAATGTCCCTGAAGAGACGATGATGTAAAGTAGTTTACTGTCAACCAGCCTCGTCATTGTTTGAAAATATGCTCATGTTGTGTGTAGCTAAACTCTATTAAAAAAGTGATAAAAGAAAACATGGTATCATTTAAAAACTCTAAAACAGGCTCCCAAGGTTGTTTGACTACGTGGACAATTTAGGTTAACCTCACATGTTAATCGTGTTACACAACAATGATAGATCATGCTAATTTGAAGAAGCAAAATTTAATATAAATATTTTGCCAAATAATTTAAATGTTAAAAACACATTCTGAACAACAGCATATATATTCTAGGATGACCTCTAAAAATACAAAAGCCTTATTTTGTTGTTGATGATGCTATACATGTACTAATCCCCGAAATTGTGGACAGACTTTAGAATTGTAAGAAACTTGTTGAATCGGAGTGTAACAGTTTTATAGAAAATAGCACTTGCTGAGTAAACCATAATAAATACAAACAAATCATTCAGATGAATCGGGTACTGCTGAAAACATTAAATATTAAGGGGTCTCAGTTTGAAAAAAAAAAAGTTTCCCAAAAAAATGGGAAACTTTTTTTTATCCAATAAAATCGCTTTCCCACTTTTTCAAATTGAGACCCCCACATTTCCCCTGATAACTTTCCCATTTTATAAATGCAAAGAAAAAACCCGAAATATCAAATCATTTCCACATTTAATGATCAAGTATGATTGTATCTATTAGTAATATACGCAATAAAAATTATAAATGTGTATCCGATAAGTCGTATCAATTTTAGATAAGATAGAAAAGTGGCGAACAAAGACATAGAATTAATGAGCATGTTTGCAACCAATATAACATCCGTTACTGATGACTCAATGTGATTTCAGGTCAGCGATTGGTTATTTGTGTATATCTTAAAAGTATAAAAGAAGAAAGTTTGAACCTGGATCAATAATAGACTTCTTTAATACTATTAACATGACCAAGCGTACTGCCAATTCCAAGCCAACACCTGTCAAGCCAAGAGCTGTCAAGCCAAGAGCTGTCAAGCCATTAAAGACAACTACTAAACCAGAGGAGACACCTTCCAAGCCCATCACAGCTACCAAAACAAAGAAGGCTCAAGTTAAGTGGGAAACTGATGTAGCAGGCGATGATAATTTGTCATCAGATGCCCGCCTTCTTGTTTTCCTTTTGGATAATAATGCAAAAAACTTGAACCTTCTCACACCAACCAAAAACCAAAAAGGCGCATATAGAGTTCATATGTCCAAGAGAAGATTAGCTTTAAAGTGTTTAGATTATTTTTGTGAAAAAAAGGTAACTTACCGTACGATGGAAGACATTCGTGCACGAATGAAGAAATACATGGTCGATTACAGTAAAGCAGGTCTACTTTTTTTGCAAACCGGAAACGGCGCAAAGGGAGAAACTAAGGATACTGGCTCAAAAGAATTCGAAAGTAAGTTGTAAAGAGTCAAAATGGGTACAGATTAAGTTGTTAATATCTCACTTACATTAGAAATGGTTAAAGCTGTCTTTCCTTATTATTATGAATTGGAAGAGTTTCTTCAAGATCGTCGTGTTGGTCTCGGTGTTCCTGATATTCTAGGTGCCCAGGATTCTGAAGTGGAAGAAACTGTAGAAGAGGAAGAAGATGAGACAAGACATGTTGAGTCTACTCCCACTGAAGAGCCTGTGAGTACCAGTGTAGTGGAAACGGTGTCTGACTCCAGTGAAGATGAAGCCACTGTTGCTCCTCCTGCCAAGAAAGCAAAGAAAAGTTCTGGTGCTGCTACCTTCGACCAGGACTTCAAGTCTATTTTGGATGAACCCGTAGATACAACCATCTACAGTCAAATGCTGGAAAAGAAGCAGGAGATGGCTAAGATGAAGATGAAGGTGCAGCAACTGACTGAAACAAGGTTAATTCTTGAAACTTTGTTGAAGTCTGGTTTAGATCCTACCTCATCAATTGTTCAAGATCTCATGAAGAAAATCATGGAGTTATTGAATAACGCTGGCACATCTGAACCTGAAGCAGAGTCTTCAAATTTGTCTTAAAAATAAAAAATTATAATTTTCAAAATTGATATACTTCATTCATGTTTATTGGTTGCGTGCTAGTATGTATCGACACACTCCATCTCTTAACTGGATTCCAGTGGGAGAGTCTATGGTGGTGAAAGACATAGTTCCACGGTCCTCCTGTTCTTCTTCCGTGTTTCCCATTGCTTTTTCAATCAACAGAAGTCTTTCCGCCTTTCTTACCAATCTCATATCCTCAGGTTCATCGATCAACATGTTGTGTAAAATTACACAGACTTTGATCCACTCTGAAGCATTGGCCATATTGTCTTTGTTCTGGATTTGTTGACGGATCATCCTCAAACTTCCAAATCTACACTTCAAGATACCAAAGCAGTGCTCGATGGCAATTCTTGTTCCAGAATGCATCTTGTTGAATCTCTTTTTTTCTGAATCTAATTCTCCATTAGGTGGCCTCTTATATGGGGGGATCATATAATGTGTACATCCATATGCAGAGTCTGCAAGGATGTACTCCCCATCGGCGAAATAACGTTCTGGATGAACCCCCATTGTTTCGGTAAATACACGCGAATCGTGAGCTGATCCAAAGATACCTGTAGCAAAGTACCTGATTCTTCGCTTATCATCACAAATGGCCAGGTTCTGGATGGCATAGCTTGCCTTTCGGGTATAAAACTCTTGGTCTCTCCACTTGGGTCGAAACTCCAAATCCATTAAAGAGCCATCTACAAACCCAACACAGTTTGGGAAACCAAATCGTTTCTCGTTGGCCTCTATGATTCGTTTTTTTTCGTCTTCCTTCGGCCAACAAATCCACTCTTTCGACATTGACAAAATGGCAGTAAAAAAACGTTTGGTGTACGTCTGGACAGTTCCTACTCCAATTCCACAATGCGTTGCGACGTTCTCCAAACTTGATCCACCTCCAGAAAGACCCAGTCGATAAAGAACAACAGCAACCTGGAAATGTACACTGCGTTGTTTTCTGGCAGCATCAGAGTCGTTATAGCAAATGTGGTCTTTTACTCTATCGCATATATTATAGAAGGCTTGCTTGGTTGGCATTCTAGTTTCCCTTCTAAATACTCTGTCAGTTTGTAGCATAAGCCACTCGAGATAGTCCCCTTTACGCTTATGAGAATGAACTCGCTTGAAGACATATCTATTCTCATTCAAAAAACGCAATGCTTTCGTATATTTGTGTCGTTTTAACGTTTCTTTGACAATTTTGGCACTAATTGCCTGAGATTCCTCATCGTCACTGTCATCATGAAGAATCTCGGTCAAGTACTTCTCCTCTATACGTAAGCAATCTTTTAGTTTCTCTACAAGTGCCTGTTTATTGCTGATCTTGGGCATTTTGTAACTTTTATTGAAAAAAAAAAAAAATGGGAAAGAATTGTACCTATCTTTTCCCAAAAAAAAGTTGGAAAGTTTTTTGGGAAAGTTGAAAAAGTGGGAAAGCGCTTTGATTGGCTAAAAAAAGTTTCCCAAAAAAGTTTCCCATTTTTTTTTTCAAACTGAGACCCCTTAATGAATATTCTTTCTGCACTTGTCATACCCATGAAACACATTCAGCTGCTTCTAAATGTGACGGCTGTCTTTAAGGTTCTAAGTGGCTTTTTTGCTTTAGGCTGTTTCTGTTGGCCTAGGTGCTGGAATCTCCCAGAAAGTGGAAGAACATTTTATTGCAGTGATGATTGGCCAAAACAATTGCGGGAAGTGGGCAATTTTTTTTTTTTTTTATATAGGTATCGAGCCATGGAAAATTTATTTGAAAACTTATTGTTCTTTACTTATATAATACATAATGTCTGTTGTTGTAAGTGTTTAATTTTTTGCATGGCTTTTCTCAAGATTTACAACAATGATGTTAATATGTACGCGTCATTTATGTAGGGTATTGATCTTGGTAATCTCCAAGCTGTTATTGCTGTTGCCCGTAACCGTGGTATTGATGTCATCTGTAACGAAGTCTCTAACCGTGCTACTCCGTAAGTATACAATCTTGGGAAAGGAATTAGAGAGGCGATAGTCAAGAGAATAGAACTTAGAAGGTGGTATAGTTTTACTAATCTGTTGTTTGTCCATATAGCCATGTCGTTTCATTCGGTGCTAAGCAAAGATATATCGGTGAGGCTGCTAAGACTCAAGAAATTAGTAACGCTAAGAACACCGTTGTCAGCTTGAAGCGTCTTGCTGGTCGCACTATCGACGACCCTGAGGTTCAAGAAGTTGAGAAGAACTTCATCATGGCCGAATTAGCTGATGCTAACGGTCAAGCCGGTGCTAAGGTAATATTTTTAAAGCGACAAAAATGATGAGAACTTCAACTTATATGCCTCAAATTAGGTTAACTACCTTGGTGAGGAACAAGTTTTCTCTAACGTTCAACTCCTTGCTATGTATCTTAACAAGATTAAGGATATTACCGCTGCTGAAATTAATGGTCCCGTTTCTGATTGTGTTATCACCGTCCCCGGTTGGTTCACTGAAGTCCAACGTCGTGCTATTCTTACTGCCGCTGAAATGGTCGGTTTGAACTGTCTTCGTTTGGTTAATGACTTGACCGCTGCAGCTCTTGGTTACGGTATCACCAAGACTGATCTCCCTGAGGAAAAGCCCAAGAATGTCGCCTTTGTTGATATTGGTCACTCCTCTTACTCTTGTCAAATTGTCTCTTTCGTTAAAGGTCAATTGACTGTTCGTGGTAACTCTTTCGATGAACATTTCGGTGGTCGTGAGTTTGATGCTGTTATCGTCGATAAGCTTGCTGAGCAATTCAAGGAGAAGTTCAAGATTGATGTTTTCTCCAACAAGAAGGCCCTTTTACGTCTTCGTGTCGCTGCTGAGCGTTGTAAGAAGGTTCTTTCTGCTAACCCTCAAGCTCCCGTTAACATCGAGTCTATCATGGACGATCGTGATGTCTCCGCTATGGTTACTCGTGAAGAATTCGAGCAATGGGCTTCTCACCTTTTCACCCGTACTGAAGATGTCTTGAGTAAGGCTCTTGAAAATGCAGGTTTAACTGTTGCCGATATTGATTCCGTTGAGATGATCGGTGGTACTACTCGTATCCCTGCTATCAAGGCCACCATCTCCAAGTACTTCGGTAAGGAAATCTCTACCACTCTTAACCAAGATGAAGCTATGGCTCGTGGTGCTGCTCTCCAATGTGCTATGTTGTCTCCTGTCTTCAAGGTCCGTGATTTCCGTATCAACGAGATTTGCACCTATCCTATTAAGCTTACTTGGGATGCTACCCCCGAGGAAGAGGAAACAGAAATTGTTGTTTTCGATAACAATAACTCCATTCCTTCTACCAAGATCTTAACTTTCTTCCGTCGTGAACCTTTTACTTTGCAAGCCCTTTATGCCAAGCCTGAATCTTTACCTCGTGGTATCAACCCCTGGATTGGCCAATTCAATATTAAGAATGTTGAGCCTGTCAACGGTGAACCAGCTCAAATCAAGGTTAAGGTCAGACTTAACATTCACGGTCTTATCTCCGTTGAATCTGCCTACACTGTCGAGGAAAAGATGGTTGATGAAGAGGTCAAGAACAAGGACGGTGAGAAGGAAACCAAGAAGGTCAAAAAGCTCGTTAAGACAGGTGACCTCGCTGTTGTTTCTGGCACCACCGCCCTTTCTAAGGAACTCGTCAACGAATACACCGAAAAGGAAAGCCAAATGTATGCCAACGATAAACTTATCGCTGCCACCGAGGCCGCCAAGAACTCTCTTGAAGAATATGGTTATGAAATGCGTGATAAGATTCTTGGTCCTCTTTCCGATTATATTGACCCTAGCATCAAGGATAAGTTTGCTGCTGACTTAAACGCTGTCGTTGATTGGATTTACGATGAAGGTTATGATGCCCCCAAATCCGTCTATGTTGAGAAGCTTGACGCTCTCAAGAAGATCGGTACTCCCGTTATCGAACGTTATCGTGAAGCTGAGGAGCGCCCTCATGCCGAACGTTCTCTTCGTGATGCCATGTATCGTTTAACTCAAGAAGCTATGTCAACTGACGAAAAGTACTCTCACATTCTCCCTCATGAGAAGCAAGATATTGTCGAACGTTGTGAACGTGCCGGTAGATGGATGGATGAACAAAACGCCAAACAAGCCAAGGTTTCTAAGTGTGAAACTCCTGTCTTGTTCAGTCGTGACATCAAGAAGGAGGAAGAGGCTATTGCTGCATTTGCCCATCCTATTTTGAATAAGCCTAAGCCTGCCCCTAAGGTTGAGGAACCCGCCTCTGCTGATGCCGATACCCCCATGGACGACTCCAGCGAAAACAAGAAGAAGGAAGATATGGATATTGATTAAATTAATGAATAGAAAAAAAAAATGTCATCATATTTCACAACACATATTTTTCCTTGCACAACAAAAAAAGAATAGAGTATCTATAATACTCTGTTTTTGTTTCAACAAATTCAGTAGAAGAACATTATAAATAAATAAAAATTTAACGTAAAAAAGAAATATGTACATGTTGGTTTGATGTCTTTTTAATTTGATAGATATATTAAAAAAATTAAGCCAAGAAAGGCTTCTTCTCTTCCGTAGTTTGTTCTTGTTCGATATATGCAGGAGGTTGTTCTTTCTTAGCCCAAATTTGCTCTGATGATTCGTCTTCAGTCAAAACAACATGTTCGTAGCTTGAGTATTTGGAAGAGACTAATTGACGAACAGCCATTACAAAACCCAAGAAGAAAGCGCAGATAGCACCCATTACAAGACCTTGAGATAAGTTGCTGGCTTCATTCCACCAGTTGTCAACACCATTGCAGCCAGGACATTCTACGAAATCTAAGACTAGATAGAGACGTGTTAATAAAATTAATTGATCACATAATGATCTTAGGAGTAGTATTGGATTCTCCTAATGGCATTGAATACGTACAGTTCTCCTCCTTGGCAGCTTCAGGACCAGGAAGCATGAAACCAGTAAGAGGGTCAACGGACCACTTGATAAGAGCCCCATTATCAAACACATCTAAAATCTGCTGACCAGCTTCGGTCTGGACCACCTTTTGTCCGTTGATTTCGGTGATAAGTTCTTGGACGCTGATACGACGGAAAACCATGCCGTCATCAGTCTTTAATTCGTCCAAAATACTCGCAGTAACTTCAACTGTGACAAGTCCGACATCAAAACTATCGGCTAAAATGGCAGCGTCTTCTTCGGAAGTAATTGATAACTTGGCTGGATTGGAAGCCATCTGAGCCTCAACTTGGATATTAGAGACACCAATTTCTACAGGCTTACCGTTACACATTAACTAAAATTAGATATATAAGTTAATTTTATTATCGTGGATTAACATGTTCTTTGTTAAATACCTGGTTCTCATATACGTCGAAAGTAACTCGAACAGCCATGATACGCTCGGCTAAAAGTGAGCCATCATCATCAAGAAGGTCGTCCACCCGTGTTACTGTCACAAAAAGATGTTCATCACCTTGTGCATTATAAGTATTTTCCACAAGATCGATTGAAGTGACTGATACATCCTGAAGTGGTGCTGCGATGGTTAATGTTGCAAGTGCTAGAGGATAAGGATTAGTTATCTATCGTTTTAAATGATACTAAACTGCAAAGTTCCTACCTAATAAAGCGGAAACTGAGAGTATTTTATTTAAACAGAATTTCATTATAAAAAATATGAATGAGAATGAGAAAGAAAAAGAAAAATGGCAATGTGATGAACTAAAAGGGAGTAAATAAGGAGTTTGGGTCTAAATTTGTCCAATCAAAAATAGTGATTTATTTTTTCCGTCGTTGACATAAAAATTGGGCTGATGTTTTTGTGGGACAAATAACCTGTATTAGGCCAAGCGGAACAGCACAAATGATGCATTGACTTACTTTTTCGTGCAGATGTATACTTTTACTTAAAACAGCTGACTGTCGATGTACTTAATCAAAACATTTACCCGTTTTCGCATATAGATATATGAGCTTCGCACTATATTTGCCATTATAATCTTTGTTTGGATTAAGTAATAAAAGCCTACAAACAATGGACGAATGCTGGCTATTAAATATACATGTATGTACTCCAATCAGAATTATAAAGGACCCAAAAAATACGATATTGAGTGTGTTATAAAAATTTGGGGATTGAACTGATATTCTAATTTTTGTTTTTTGTTTTTAAAGAAGTCCTTGAACAGCGTCTTATCTTTTTTTGTTTTGTTTTTTTGTGAAAATGTGCTTTACCATAAGTGTAAAGCTTACTTTAATGGCATTATATCATAATCTATAGTCAGTAGAGAGCTATGTTTATTTAAGCGAATTTTTTAATTTGTTATGACATTATAAAAAATGTATTGATCCGTGTAAAAAAAAAGCACGCAAACGTATACAAGTGTATTATTTGCGGCCTTTAAGCGAGTCTCGCCGTTTAAAGATACTATTATCTGAAATAAAATACAGTCTATCATGCTTGATATCGTGGTAAGGGCTTACTACAATGGGGATAACGTATATCCTTAACCCAAAATGTGGACGCAGTGAATAGAAATCCAGTTTATGGGGTCATTTAGGGACAGCCACCATTTTTCTTAAGGACAGTCAGGGTGCGCGTAGTCGTAATATTGAATTATGATCCTTTGACAGACACTAAGAGGTCAATGTAACTTATCGTCTTGAACTACATACAATTTATTACAATCAGCATAGGGTAAACCAGTATGTGTGTGCTATAGCTTACTTTCAGCTTCTCATTAGGCCTTTACCGTAAAAATTCTGCGTAAGATTTGGATCAAACGAGCTTTTAAAGACGAAATAATAATGATAGAATTGACAAAACAAGTCCAAATTATTTAATATGCATTTATTCGTAATTATCACATTGTTTTTGATTACATATTCTTGTTTCCAGGTCTAAAAGGACAGTCAAATCACAGATCTTACGTTGTGACTACGTGCACTTTGGCTGTCCCTAAGAAAAGCGTTGATCTAATATTTTCTGAAAATAGTGTAAGGAAGGGAAAATGAAGCACACATTGCATTTATAGGACTCCTTTTAACCTAGAACACAATTAACTGAATTTATTATGATGAGTTTGATTATGTGTCTGATTGTTTCTAAAATTTTAAAGATAAAGAATCGCTTTCAGGCACGACTAAGCAATTATTTACACATTAAACAGTCCTTGTATGGGGCCAATCAATCTTTTTATTTTGCTAGCATTTTTCTATAGTCTTAACGCGCTAACATAATATACTACATCCTTATCATTCCATGGTTGTAAGGTCATATCCAAAATCTAGCACCATAATCCTTTTATCTTGTCCTGCACTATTTGGGGTTACCTTTGATTAAAATATCACACACACAAATACTAAATGAAGTACCTTATGATCTTTGTACGACTAAGCAGACAATTAAATATCCAGCTTGAATGGCCACTTTGAAAACTTAACAAGCATTTGCTCTCTTTAGCATTCCAAACACGCAATGTGCGGTCGTAACTTCCACTTACAGCCTTATCCTAAGTAAGGTCGTATTAAAAAAATGACGCCAAGGGAAAATTTTTGTAAAGTACCTCAAAGCTATCAATAGTGCGAATAAGATCTGAATGACCAGCCAGAGTAGAAACACATTTTCCAGTATCTGCATCCCATATCTTCAGCTTATTATCCTGTCCGCCACTGTAAATAAATTGTCCATCAAACCGAACGCAAGCTAGACCTCTTGTATGGCCAGCAAAAGTCCTTAGACAATTACCAGTTTCGATATCCCATAATTTTAAAGTTGTATCTCCTGAGGCAGAAACCACCCGACCGCCGTGAGAGCCTAACGCATTAACAGGGCCAGCGTGTCCTATAAGACGCCTCATTTCACTCCCTGAATTTTTATCCCATACACGTATTGTTGCATCGCGTGATGAGCTGACAATCATACCCCCAATGATACACACATCCAGTACACCACCCGAGTGACCTGCTAATCTCTTTTGTGGTAAAAAGTCAGGCAGTGACCAAATCAAACATGTTGCATCTGAGGATCCAGATACTAAAAAGGACATATCTGCAGACACTCTTAGACACAATACACTTCCCTCGTGACCTGTCTTTGTCAATACTAAAGATGACCCTTTCTTCTCGTCAAGGTTCCAGAGTTTGATAGATCTATCTCTACTTCCACTTACGACTCTGTTGCTACCTACCCATACTAAGCAATACACACTGTCTTCATGTCCAGTCAAGTATCTTGTGTTGACTTTGCCATATTTCCATCTTCGATCCAATTCAAGATGGTTTTTGTACAAGTCATAGTAAGAAATATTGGGTAATGACTTCAGGTTTTTTTGATTATAATCGGTTTGAAATAAGGTTTGCCATAAATATTCATGATGCTTGTGACATAGCTTGTAAAACTGTTTACATGTTTGCGCCAATTTCAATAAACTTTCACAGTCCAAAGATAACAAAATTTTAATTGTCAGTTCGGATGGCAAAAATAAAAGCTTTCTTTTTCGATTTGCTGGTAAACGAAAGATGTATTAAATAAATAAGTTAATAACATGCGAAAACTTGACTTACTCTGAGAAAATGCATCAGCAGTTACAGATATTGCGGGTTGGCTGCAATTAAATGTAGCTAGAACAGTTTCACGACTAATAGTGCTGCTACTGCTACTATTACTATTTGATAATGATAAACTGTTACTGTTTCTTCGAGGGAATCGGGGTATAAACGAGGAAATCATCAATCTGCGCTGTTTAGGAGGAGAACAAAGTGACTGGTACGAAGAAAACGAAGACCTCCTTCTACGGTTGGACGAATATCGATTTGACGGTGGGTTTAGACACTTTGTAGTTGGGGTTCCATCTTTTCGCATAACGATAGTAATGTAGGTTGGAAGATCGGGCGATTTTGGAGAGTTCGATTGTGCATGTGTTTTATTATGGTTTGAAAACGGCAAATAAGAAAATAACTTGGATGTTGTAGGTGATATTAATGAAGGCGTTAGCAAGGCCATTTACTGAAAAAAAAAGGGATGTAAGAAATAAGAGAGTGAAAAGAAAGCCGAAGATAAAAGAAAGTTGAAAAAGAATGGTATAAATTAGGCAGTGTGTAACTGTTTAATTGTCAAATAACGCTGTTACATTCTCGCACACTCTTTTCTAATTTTCCGAAATCCTATTAAATGATTTTATTTACAATCGACTTCCCCGAGTATGTATTAATTTTCGTTTGATATCGAACATATGAATGTGACGCTTTTTAAATTTTAAAGATGAAAACAAGTGTAACACACATTTTATTTTTTGAGCCTTCTGTAAGTTCCTCATGTCTATTCGGGATAATTGTGAAGAGAGCAATTACGAAAACGAGAACGAGACCCTTTACGATCTCATACCGCAAGTAGAGTCTTTGCGTCTACGTTGTGTCTCTATTCTAAAAGAATGTAAAACCTGGAACGAAAAAAAGGTCATTGAAGGATTGCATAGGTACACTAATTCACTAAGTGCTGAAATGCACTTCATCGAAAAGGTATGCCTGTTTGGTATACATCTACCATAGAAAACTATGCCATTTTTTAACGCGCTCTTTAGTTGTTAGATAGTCCAAAACTAATAAAAAAAGAACACGTTCAAAGCACCAACCTCAGTTATCTTGAAGCAGTGTATGAGGCTATGGCTGGTGTTGGCGAAAAAAGGGAAGAAGTGATGCGTATCGTTAGTGCCCCTTCTGAAACTGAGGTATGGATGCCCCGTACTGCTATGATACGCAACCATAGTATTAAAGTTGATATTGTGACCGAGAATGGTTTGGTTTGGGTGAAAGTTATTGCTAGAAACGCAAAAGCATTTCGACATGAATTAATGGGTTTGGAATGGGAAGATTCTGAATCAGAGCTGTCTTCTGATGAGGAAGAAATGCAACAAAACAATAGCGCCAAATCAGCTGGAGATTTCGATAGTCTACCCATTTTTAAAAAGGCACGTGAATACTTGAGGACAGCGAAGGCACACCATGTTCAATTTTTTACACCGATTGTTGTATTTGCCTTTATGCGAATTCAACCTGAGGAAGATGTATTTGTTCAACGTATCATGGATAGGCTGATAGAAATGGGGATTGTAGTTCATTTACAAAGACCAGAGCACAAATTAAAATCATCTTATGAAACGTTGTTAAAAAATTCAGTAAAGGGGCAGGATATAGATTATTTCACCACGCCGTCATTAAATATGGATGTCAGTTCAATTCTAGCCATATTATCCGAATTATCACATCATGTGTGCTTACCAGAGGAAGTGTCGGCAATCCCATTACAGGTTCAAGCAGAGCGCGAGGCCCAGGTACCCGCGCTGCCTCAAATAGTACCTTATGTCACGGGGAAAAAACTATTTATCATCCAAACTGCATATGATCGATTGAAGGGCATAGTCGATGTTGTGGGTGGTACTCGTGAGGTAGCTAGATTTAAATATTTATTTAAAAAACATCTCGGTTTCAATGATTTAGAATTCGATCAAGATTTATGGACACAATTACCTCCTCTTTCTATTGACGTTATACCGGATGCACATTCTGAAGCTTTTACAAGACTATTGGAACCTCCCTCACAAAAATCAAAATTAAATAACGGTAGAAAGATTCGCACAAAGTTTTCAGATTTTCATGCAAAAATCTTTGGAAGTGGTGACTTCTATAAAATGACCACTCTGACTTCAATTCAATGGATGGAATCAGCACTTAGAGACGCGGGCTTACAAGGCTCTTTGATTATCTCCCATGAACCTCGATCTCTAGCCGAGAAAAAAATGACAACAAGGAACAACATCTAATTGCGGATTATATTTTTCATGTATCCATGGGCACTAATAAAAACGTGGGGGTTTTTTTTTTTTTTTCTTATCAATTCAGGTGCTCACTGTGTTACAATAAACGATTTATATAAATGTTTATTATCATTATAATATATTGTAGATGTTTAAGGGGAGAAAAAGAGGGAATATTTGATAGGGGTATGGAGACATATTGCTATATATAAATCCGTGGGGGAAGGTGGTGTATATTATTATTCAAATCGATAATACATAATCATTTGTTTGCTTGGCGATTTTTATTAAATGAAATGGCGTTATAATATTGCTGAGAGTTGTATATACTTGTTCGTTGTTTGTATAGTAAATTGATAATCTTTTGAGACTAAATATATCATTCGAATGAGTGTGCACTGTATACATAATGTAAAGGTAAAGAAATAAGGAATGACAGCGAGAAAAATTAGGAAAGTTAAGCATAAACTAAATGAACAAATCAAACTCATAAAGATAATTTGGCGTTTTCTGTCTCTTCTTTTTGTCGCTTTCTATTTTAAAAATGTAGAGATCCATGTCATAAAGATTTACATGTGCTTTAAGCATAACTGTCTCTTGCTGATCAATCACATCATCGATACCGAGACACCATTGACTAGGATGCACTCCATAGCGAGCACAGCTAGTCTATTAAATTATGTAAGTGACGTTTTATGTAAAGAATTTATTTATACATACAGAATGTCCAGGAAGCCAGTTTCCACATAATTCACAAGTAGCGGGCAAAGTCATGATAGGGTTCATTATAATTATACGATTTATAAAAAAAAAAAAAAAAAAAAAAAAAAGTAATTAAAAACAAATTAAAAAGAAAAAGACAGGATTGGGACCTTTCTATTTATACGTTCTTGTCAGAATGTGTCATGTAAAAACTGCGTGGACTCACACTTGATGCGCTAAATCATAATTTTGCACTCTTATCTCATGTGCTTCTATTGTCACACTTCTCACTAGCAGTTGTACTCCTCGTTCGCTGAATATAAAGAAAGGGTTTCTTTTTTTCTCTCTCTCTCGTAATATATCATCACTTGATCGGCCCCGTGTGTTGTGGCTTTTTTTCAACGACAAATTTAGTTACTTGATTAAAGTAGCCAATGTCACCTCCCAACACTATATATCTATACAAAACTACCCATGTTTTTTAAAGTTGCCATTAGATTTCCGTTTGATTTACTAAATGCACTTGGCACTAGCAAGAAAATATCAAAAGGCTTGTGTTATTTAAAGGATCAAAATTCTCAAGAAGAAATTAGTCTTTCCTTCTCTCTTTATAAAATATTATTTTAAACGACTATAGATTAGATAATAATTTGTATTTTACACAGCATTTCCTTTTGACCGTCTAATGCTTTTGACGTTACACATGTGTGGTATCCCGCTTTGTGATTTATGGTAAATAGCAGTTTTATAAGACTCATTTACGCATTAATATAGTACCAATTGGTGTTCGTCTAATTACATCAATGTCCAACTAACTCGTACTCTGTTATTCACATATAACCAATATGTACACACGTGCATACATGATTAAAGTATTCAGGAGCAATAGCTGCACCCAAAAAATACTATAATGTGATTGAAGTAAGTCTCTTATTTAACCTTAGGCCATAGTGTCTCCTCTTTTCTATCAATACATTACATTTAATCAAAAATTATTTATAATGTAGTAAAAATTATACAAAGGAGTAAACTTGTACGCCATCAATTTTATTGGTGCCTTTTACGTCACAATAAGCGCCCACTGTTAAAGGTTTTTATAAAGTTTTCAAGAATAACTCTGTACATTACGTCTTATTTTATACAATATACCACAGACATACAATCAGATTGTATTGCTTAACTGAAATAAGCACGATCATATTAAAATCTATATATCGACTCTCGTGTAAGGGTCGTGTCTGACATCATTTATTTATAAATTATATAGGGGCCTGCCGCGTTAAAAAATAGGGATAGACCTGTTTTAGGGCAGTACTCGTTATATAAAAAAGGAAACAATGTAATTAATCTTGTACAAGCTATTGTAAAACCTGCCTGATGTGGCACTTTTGGTAATAACAGAAGTATATAAAATGCATGGGTCCTGTCGATACGCCAAAAAGGGGGCCGGTTGATAGCCCGTAGAAACATCAAGCAAGCTCTATGAGCTTACTTACAAAAAAAATATGGGTTTCTTATTCAAAAAAGTATTATACTCCTCAAGTTATGTTTTTGCCGCAAGCAATATATAGTTACTGTGTTTAAACATAGTGTCCACGTAATTTTAAATTTAAATCACGGTTTCTTTCAAAGTTTAACAGTATCCTTGCATATGTTTTTCTCAACCAACATTAATTTAAACATGTAAAATCAGAAAGAGGTTTTTTTTTATCAATGGGAATATTTGATGAAGTTGAATCATCATAAATAAACCCACTATTTGTAATTTAAGTGTTACACAATACCTTGGTTTTTTCTCACAGTTGCATCTTTTCTGTAATGGGCACAAGGGATGTCATGTCATATTTTATATTTCTACTCAATTATTTATGAGTTGCTTTTATTTTTTCTTCTGTGGGAGTTTACACAAATTTCATCTATATTGAATTTTTAAGTTATAGCGATCGAGAAACGAGGAACTGCAGACAGAATCACAAGCAACATACTGTATGACCACAGGGAAAGATAGAAGGGAGTTTCTAGATCAAGCTGTACATATCTACATTCCGCACGGACTCCATTCCTAAATTATGCCACACAAAATATATCCACGTGTATGTTCTACTTTGGTGATGGCAGCCCAACATTTCCATCATTCAACCGTGGTATGTTATAATTCTAAAATAAATTGCGTGGTAGATTTATTTTGTACGATATAGACACAGCCTCAGTATATCTTGATTGTATGTCTTCCATCAGTCTCCTACATAAATGATTGTATTGATAATAAACACAGAAGTCGATGTATAGTGTCTTATAAATTGACAACAACATGAAATGTGTGAGTTCATATGGATGTAGTACGCGCAGGCCATGAGGAAAAACTCGATTTATAAGGAAGGACGAAACGTTTTTTCCTTTACCTTAATCACATGCAATGCGGAGGTGTTTATGGCAACATTTGTATGCAGATCTTGACCATGTGTAACCGTTCTTCTTCGTTTAGTATAAAAAGCGATCAGAGAGTTTTTTAACCTCTTTTTTCTATCTTTAAAACAAACACAAAACAATTAAACAATTATGAAAACATTTTCAGTGGAAGTAGGACCCGAACAAACCAATGGTGGCCGTATCCATCGCAATCCCTTAGCTATAGATGGACTTCTTCGAACACCCGCTCCCAATGTGCATACTTTATATGATGTCCTCCAGACCAGTGCCAAGAAATACTCTACGAATAATGCTTTTGGTTACCGTACGTTGGAAAGAATGGTTGAGGAAGAAAAAGAGGTTGTCAAAATTGTTGACGGTGTAGAAACAAAACAAACAAAAAAATGGAATTACTTTCAATTATCTGGATACAACTATATAACATTTGCAGAAGCTGGACAACTAGCCCTTGATATTGGCGCAGGTTTCAGATATCTGGGACTTAACAGTCATGCAAAAGTTGAGATATTTGCTCCCACTAAGCAAGTATAATGTAATTTTTTTTTTAAAAAAAAAAAAAAAAACTAACAACATTTTATAGTATGTACTGGCTTTTGACTGCCCATGGATTATTTACTCAAAATATGACGATTGTTACAGCATATGACACTCTTGGTGAAGAAGGTTTATTGCATTCAATGAATGAGACCGAGGTTGAGGCTATTTTCACTTCAGCAGAATTATTGCCAACTGTAGAAAAGGTTGCCAAGAAATGTTCAAAGTTGATCCTGGTTGTATATAATGGGGAAGCCAAACAAGAACACTTGGACAAATTCAGTTTGCTTAATATTGAAGTTTTATCTATTCAACAAGTCACTCAATTAGGTAAAGAACATCCTGTCGAAGCTCGTGCGCCCGAGCCTGAGGATCTCTGCTGTATTATGTATACTTCTGGAAGTACTGGTAACCCGAAGGGTGTCTTGTTGTCACATAAAAATGTCGTAGCTGCAAGTAAGATAAAATATAATTTAATAGGTCTGTAATGTTACTTATAAAGTTTTGTTGTAGTTGCATCTGTTAATGGGTTACTTCAACCGAATATTGGTTCAAATGAATCAATGATGGCTTATTTACCGCTTGCTCACATTTTCGAATTTGTTGTGGAGAATTCTTGTCTATTTTGGGGAGCAACTTTAGGCTATGCATCAGTTCGTACACTGACCGACGCTTCTGTTCGAAATTGTAAAGGTGATATCAAAGAATTTAGACCAACTTTAATGACAGGTGTACCTGCTGTATGGGAATCTATTCGTAAGGGTATTTTAGCAAAACTGGAATCATCTTCTCCAAACGCACAGGCTATTTTTTCAAAGGCTTTTGCCACAAAATTCTGGTTCCATGAGAAAGGTTTACCAACACCGCTTCTTGATAGACTCGTATTCAACAAGATTAAAGAGCAATTAGGTGGTCGCTTGAAGATGGCTATTTCTGGAGGTGCTCCTTTATCGGTCGAAACTCAGAAGTTTTTGTCCGTAACAATTTGTCCCATTTTGATTGGATATGGAATGACAGAAAGTAATAGAGAAAGTATTTTGTAAAGCGTTGCTCGTATTAATTTTAATTTATAGGTTGTACTTCTTGTACTATTATGACACCCGAATTGTTTGGATATGGTCATGCCGGTCCTGTAAGTCCTGCTTGTGAAGTCAGGCTTGTCGATGTCCCTGAAGCAAATTACTTCTCTTCTAATGAAACACCCCAGGGTGAAATTTGGGTTCGTGGAGCTACTGTGACTAAGGGTTATTGGAAGCGTGAGGATTTGACTAGTGAACTTCTAGCAGAAGGTGGATGGCTTCAAACTGGCGATATTGGCGAATGGAAAGAAAATGGTGCATTGGCTGTTATAGATCGTAAAAAAAACCTTGTGAAGCTAAGTAACGGAGAATATATCGCCCTTGAAAAGTTGGAGTCTATTTACAAAAGTTGCGTTCTTGTGGGTAATATTTGCATCTATGCTGATTCCTTGTTACCCCGTGCTGTTGCCTTGGTAGTTCCTGCTGAAAAAGCTATCTACGCATTAGCTGCAGAAAAAGGTGTTACAGAAAAGGATTGGGTTCTACTTTGTGGTGATACGACAGTAAAAAAGGCTGTTCTCGCTGCCTTATTAAAACAGGGAAAGAGTGCTGGTTTAAAACCCGCGGAAATGCTATTTGATGTATATCTGTGTTCAGAAGAATGGACTTCGGAAAATGTAAGTTTTTAATTGATGATTATATTTTGATGATGCTAATCTACTAATATTTAGGGTCTATTAACGGCTGCGCAAAAGATGAAACGTCATGATATTGTTAAAAGATTTAAACACGACCTTGACTACATGTAAGTACTAATTGACGCAGTCTATTGTTTATCTTGTATTTATTAGTCGTCTTTAGGAATGAACATCAATCGGCATAACATACATTTTTTGTAATGTCTTCTTTTTTTCTTTTTTATCTCTTTTTACTTACTACACGTACCTTTCTTTTTTTTTTTTTCTTGTTTAATATTAACACTACGTCACTTAATAAAATAATAACTGAACCTCGTCGCATTTAAGCGAATAAATTAAATTATAGTATACTCTCAATATCAATAGTATCTAGCTAGGCATTATGGTTTTAATGACACAGATACAGGTATCTAAATAATCTTATAACAATGTACTTGTTTCTATTTGGTTTGAATGTTTAAATATATTAAACAGTGCCCAATAAAATTTTGGATAGCTGAACGCAAAAATATGAGAACGGATTTTTTCAAAAAAAAACACCTAAATGGGATATCTAGTGACAAGTATGATGCACTATAGGCATACCAGATACATGGAATAGCTTTCCTACGTAGTTAAAAAATAGGTGTTGATGAGATAAAACGAAGTTCAAATCACGTGTTCGAAATATTTTTTTTATGAAGCAATAACATTACATGAAAAGAGTATAAAGTGATTAAGGGGGTTATCAGTTATTATGCAGACGATGTTTCTGCTGCATTTTTTTTTCCTATGCATCTAAAAAGAATACTTTGATCTAGTTTGCGATATACTCTAAAACAGATGGTAAGACCGTATCCAGTTATTGGAGTAAGGCGATTATGTGATACTAGTTGTCAGAATTAACATTTGGTTCTCGCCACAAGTTAAGATATGTGTAAGTCGATGTAAGTCGACTGAAAACGGTTCCTAAACATTATTATAAAAGTACCCCTGTTCAATTTGTTCAATTTATCTTATTCTCCGAAAACAAAAGTTATAATCGGCTTTATCTTTCAAATTTTCTCACGGTACTCTTTACTGCTCGTAAAATCTAAAAGAAAAAAATACCTGAAGATATACGTATAAAAACACCATGACTCACCCATTAAAACATCTGAAGTCGCACAGAGCTTTAATTCCTATTAAGAAACTCAAAACCAGATCCCATAATCAAAAGCAAAAACATTTAAAAATAAACGAGAAAAGATGACCGCAAGAGATGGGATGTATTGATTTTGAAATATTTCTCCATTCCAATGTAGATACATCATTATCTATGCGGAGTTGCTACACTTAAATCTTTTCAAGAAAAATTTAAATCCTGTAAGTAATTAGTGTTAATCTTTGAATATGGCTGAAAATCAGATCAACGAGTGGTGATAAATACAAGATCAAAATAGTCCTTATAATGCTGCTTTAATCGGCTTTTTGGTCTATGTTTGCAAGTGAACAAGAAATATTCTAATAATAATTTTAGTAATAGTTTGACTGATGTAAAACTTTCCGATGCTTATTCTCGTGGCAGAACATTATTCAGCAAGTGTCTAAAAGTACATAATAGTATGTGGCAAATGATTCCTCACTTTCTATTTGAGTGGCTTTATTTACTTTTTGTTTCTCGTTACTAAAGCCAAGGGTGAGGTCACTAAACATGGTTAGATTTGAATTAATGAGCGAATTAAAATCTTACAGTGACGGGATAATTGATTTTTTTGATACAACACAAATCAAATTAGATCTTCGCTTTTAGCCGATCGAATGGTAAGAAGAAAACGAGGCTTTTTCGATCCCGAGAAACGGGTCTCCTAGGGACAACCAAAGTAAAAATAGACAGAAGCAGCATGATCCTATGGTAAAGCTTTCGCACACAATGTAAGACGGTAAAGTATTAAGGGCCTTTTGTAGCCAGCCAAGGTGTCTATCCGATTATATGCTGAGACTACGCGCACCATAATTGTCCTTGCTAAATCCGTTCTCTAAAATCCTAGAAAACGTTTTGCCGCTGAAGAATTTTGCCACACCAATAATCATTTGGTACTTCTATATTTAGTGTTATTGATGCCAGAAAATGACAATATTTCCTTTACAGTAAAAAAAAAAAAAAAAAAAAAAAAAAAAAAAAAAAAAAAAAAAAACCCAAATGGGTGGATATGCAAGTTAGGAAAAAAAAACCCACTAAAGTTCCATTATTACTTTAAAAACGGTAGCAATCATATTTTTAGACGTATAAACTGCAATTCTCGTTTCGAGATTCAACGAAAGGCGTCCAATGTTCGAAGTTGATACTTAACATACATCAAATTCAACGTTATATGGTTTTAGAAACAAATACGACATATACTATTTATATTTAGAAACAAGGATTGATGTCTCACTACTACATAATAAGAGCTTATGTACATGTCTGTATACCGTCATCATGATCGAAATTGAAAAAGAGTTTCCAAAATCTGGGAAAAAGGTACCACAGAATTCTTACCCCATATTATGTTCAAACTGCGCATACCTTTATCCCATGCCGGGGTTCTCTGCAGTTTTTACTTCATTATACTACATTACTACTGACCAAATGACAGCAAACACTTTTTTTGAAAACAGTCTTTATGATAAGTAAACTACTTAAGAAAACAGTTGAATTATTTGGTGTGTAGGGTAGAAGCTCTGAATGTAAGCGGCAAATATGGATATAAGCAAATCCAATAAAATTAAACTATTTGTATCTCAGGTCTAGCACCCCCCAAACTTTAACGCCATACTATTGTCTTTCCCAGATTATACAGTTACACACATAATCGGTCTTTACATAGTGAATTCAAAATCCTTGGCTGATATCGAATCTTAGGTTTTAAAGTAAACTTAATCGGATGAAGTGATAACGGAGTAAATAGTAGACAAACTACACTCCGAGATTGCTGTTTTCTTATAAATACACATCAATGTAAGCCGATCAAAGAATTTTTTCTCTTTATCTTAATTTCGCTTCAAAACTTTTTTTAGTCATATTTATTTTCTTATGGGAGCTGAATCAAATACCCCATCTATCACTTCCGAAAAGTACAAGGTTGACCAATCTATTATCAGCAATTATGCTGAAGATGACAATAACTCAGTTACCAACGAATTTGGCCATGGAGAAGGTTCTTTTTTAACTGGCTATTTTAGTGTTACCTGTGTTGTAGCTGGTACTGGTACTCTTGGTCTCCCTCATGCGTAAGTTAAATATTATACGTAAAACTCCCATTTTTCATTGTATTTACATTACATTGTTTAGGTTTGCGATTGGTGGTTGGTTAGGTATCCTGATTATGATTCTCTCATACTTAATGGCTGTTTACAGTGGTATTGTCTTGATCCGCTGTTTGTATTATAAACCTGGTGTTAGACTTCATGATTTTAAAGCCATTGGTATTGCAGCATTTGGCTGGCCCGGTTATGTCATTGCCACCTTTCTTCATTGGCTTAATCTGTTTGGTTGTCCCGCACTTTATCTGACGCTTGCCAGTTCAAATCTTAACTACTTGCTTCGTTATACCAGTGGCGCTCTTAATCCTGTCACTTGGACTTGTATTATCGGTGTCATCCTTTTGATTCCTTCCCTGATTGCAAAGACTTTAAAAGAAATCACTGCTCTTGCTGCTGTTGGTGCTCTTTGTACTATGATTGCTGTCTTTATCGTATTGATTCAATCTCCCATGTACCATAATGCTCATCCTGAAATTCCTGTTCAAACTGATTCTGTTATCTGGACTGGGTTCCCTTCTGCTCTTGCTACTATTGCTTTCTCTTACGGTGGTAACAATACTTACCCTCATGTTGAGCATGCCATGAAGAAACCTCATCAATGGAAGTATGCCATTGCCGGTGGGTTAACTACTTGTACTGGTCTCTATTTCATTACTGCCATTCCCGGTTACTGGTCTTTCGGTCGTGATACGCAATCTCCCATTTATAACAGTCTCCCCGAAGGCGCTGGAAAGATGATTGCTATGATTGTTATGACTATTCATGTCATTCTTGCCATTCCTATTTACACCACCTCTTTCTCTCTTGAGTTTGAGCGTTACGCCAACTTTACTGATGCAAGACTCGGTCGATTCTGGGCTTGGGTTGCTCGTGCTGTTATCCGTACTTGTACTATGGCCATCCTTGTTATTTTAGCTATTTTTATTCCTTACTTTCATGATTTCATGAGTCTAATTGGTGCTCTTTCTAACTGTGGTCTTGTCTTCCTTTTACCCATTTTGTGTTATCTTAAATTAACAGGTGTTCGTAACAAGCCTTGGTACGAACTACTTTTCTGTGCCTTCACTGTTTTCATGGGTATTATCGGCTGTGTATTCGGTACTATCGATGCCATTAAGGCTTTAATTCATGATTTCGAATCCGAGTAATTCAATCATCATACCTTTAACTTTATCAAAATGCTTTAACGTTTCTCCTACCTCGCCCCCTCTCCTTCCTTTAAAATTCGTTGCTGTGATTTATATATCACATCAAATTTGTACATAGTTGTTTTAGCAAATTCATGTAGTAGTAAATAAATTTAATATATTATTCTTTTTAAAAATTAATCGGACTCTTCCTACAGTATATGCGTTATTTGTTATATCAGAACAATTACGGCCAACGTCGGTACTGTCTATTATGTATTTGAAAAGTTAAGGTTTTTTATAACCAAAGTATCCAATGATGTTATTGTGTTAAAAAAAACGCATACCAAACAGGATGATGTTAATTTGGGTGCCGACGTAAAGGTTTTTAGTTCATATTTCAGTAGCTCATTTGTATGATTATCATGCTGATTTTGAGAAGTTTCGTAGATCCGGGGATTTATTACTGAATCAAATCGGGTTTGTTCGCCGCGTCGTATGATAATACCGTTTTCTGCGGAGTCAGTTATACGAACTAGAGCTTTATTGAAACTGCAAGATTTCCAGACTGTTCGATCATGGACAGATTAATTTAATTATTGGAATGAACAAAATGACTTTACATGATCCTATTTTCTACTTTATTTGACAGAATATCTCTTTTTTTCCCACACAATTATACTCAGAACGCAGATTAACTCAAGGTTTACGAGATCTTGACGTTACACATGACATATCTTCAAAAATATGGTATATACCAGGCACAATTCTCCCACACTTTCAGTTGCCTCCGCATGCTTAGCTATAATGTCTGTGAAGGCTTATAAAACTAAGCGATATTTATATGTGCTTTGATTCCATCCATTGTAGATCCCATCTCCGCTGACAGTTAAATAGGGAATCTATAATCTACGTTATCAGGGAAGAACAAGTAAAGATAACAGATTATTTTTACTAAATTAAGTAATAGCTTTTTTTGGTTCAAACCGGATAAATAAAAATCCGTACCTTTGAGTATTTTTCTTACAGCTGCTACACCCTACTATTAATGATACCAGGTGTCTACAGATCAATATACAATTAAATTATCAAGTTTTTAGAAATACTTAAGATTGCCAACTATAATTATAAAGCATCGCATTTTAAACTTAATTGTGAAACATGAGCCCGGTATGGCAAAATTTCAGCTCAAGTCCCCCCCCCCATCCTCTCCCTGAAAATGGAATTTCCCCACAATTAATTAATAATGTCGAACCCTGAATTAAGATTTAGATAAAAAACTTATAGATCCACGTACTCATATTTTGATTAGCAGCTAAAACGTGGTACTTCTATTTAAAACATAACTTATTGCGTTTACTTCTCCTAAACTAGATGCTATAGATTCTATATATCTGACCTTATCAAATTTTCTTATTGTGGCGTAATAAAATTCATTTTTTACATTGATGGAAAGGAAATATCATAAGTCGGTGGACTTTCGACATTTTTATTGGTAGAATGCATCATTATCTCAAAGGCGATAGGGGTTTAGAAAATTATTCGCCAGAATAATCTACATGTTTTGACACTTCAAAGATAATTTAAATAAGCCGACGTAATATTCCTTTCGAATAGTATCTACCGGAACATGCAACAAAAATGATTGTGCAGCAAAATATACTCTCATATAAAAAAAGGCTATATTTGTTGCTCAACGGTTTTTTTAAAGGGAATTGAGTTTGTTTTAAACTGCCGCGTGGAGAGCAAAAAAGGTAATTATAGCGGAAGGCTGCTTCCCTCTGTTTGACCCAATTGGTGCTGTTGTTATAGCGCCGATTTTTCTAAAACTGTACCTGTCGGTCTACAAAATTATTAGATAGGAAAAACGTAGCAGACCCCCAATTTTTACATTGTGGGTTTGGTTGCACATCTCTGCGTTCAATATTTATGATAGATTTATCCAATGATAATAACAAAAACTTTTTCGAAAGGATTAAGCACGGGTGAGGACTAGCGCAATGGAGATAAACATATCAAACAGACAAAAGATGATGTAACGAAAATAACGATACGCACGTATGCTGAACTAATATGCCTTATTTTTATTTGTAAATTAAGCCTTCATTAATTTATTAGGTCTTACATTGTAGAGAGGTAGGACTTGTAAAGTAGTTTAGAAAAAGAAGGCAGTTAATAATGGAGGCAACATAAAAATGTGGCTAAGCTAAAAAACCTTATGATACATTATAACAAAAAAGTATGTGTTACACCGCTCCTAATACTTGGGATACTAACTTTGCAAGATTTTGTTGAATTCTTCCCTTGAAATCATCCATAACGGTCGGTTGTGTGTTAGCTAGTCCTTACATCCCAAGAAATGAAAACTCGCCCTATTATATTCCTTGTACTGTAAAAATCTACAGATATAAGTTCTAGTATGGCTTATCATTTGTGTGAAATTGTCTCCAGTAGCTATTCATGTACTTGCTTTATGATTGTACAAGTAGACTACGGATTTGGTTTAGTGATAGTAATTTTTTTAGTTTTGCTTTGTTAAATAATTTTTCAAGTTTATCTCGTTACTAAAGCATTGAATTGTTCAAAGATCATCAATTTTGCTTTGGCTTGTTTGAGACAAAAAAAAAAGCAAGTAAATAAACGACATGTTTACCAAAATCTGTTTTTCAAAAAGATATCATGTCGCACAAGCAGTCAAATATGGTAAAACGGATATTATGTAATCATGAGTTAGATGCTAAGTCATTGAAAAAAAAAAAAAAAAAAACTTTATAAATTACCACTCAATATATTAAGAAACATGATGTATCGTTCAAATGTCAAATATTTAATATCTTACACTTAAGCAACAGTTACTCAAACTTAATTTTTCTACGTAGTAACTCGCATTTTAAAATTTTTTTTTAGCACGAAAATCAGAGTGAGGATGAAATAAAAAAAAAATCTTTATTAAAAGCCAAGGGAAAGAAGAATTGGTGACTTAAAAAGCTATGTACTGCTTCATATACTGTTGCTCTGTGACGAGGTTTTGAACAACAATGTTCTGGCATCTTTGACCGTGTGTAAATAACGCTAGGAGCTTCTTCTTGTGAATTGTAAACTTAAATCGATTTAAAGGCCAAGTAAATCCAGTGGACAAAAATATTGGATGCTGAATATTTCAAACGCTTAAAGGACATTTTATTTGTTCTGTATAATAATAATAGACATAAAAAACCAAAATAATATGTTGTGCATAAAAATTTCAAAGCAAAAAAAATCATAAACACAAAATATGAAAGCATTGTTCAAATTATTAATTAAGTTGTCAATAATCTTAGAAGGACATCCCTAAAAAAAATACTTCTAGGCTCCCTTCATCGATTTTTATAAAATGTGGTATTTACAAAATGTCTTGATAAACTCTGCTGGCGCAAAAGCAGTATACAAGAAAGGAAGCTTTTATCTTGTAGTAGAAGAAAAGAATAAATCATCCGTTTTTGTAAATTATGCTACTTTATTTATATTTTGTTCTGTCAAGACTACAACATGTTCAGTTCTAAAGGTAATATTTTTACCAGCGTACATGAAATCGAGGACACCTAAGACAAACAATTTATATATTAAAAACTTTTTTGATTGGCATATTGTAGATTGAATTATTAAAAGAACAAAAGATGACTTCTGGCTTCTCATTCCAATTTAACTTCTTATCGGTATTGGTTTGCAGTTTGCTGGGTTGAAGAAAACCATGAATTAAAATTCGCAGAAAGTCTCCGTCATTGATCAGGTGCATCCCTGTTCTGTTATTGACAGCAGTTAAATCGAAAAATAAATCAAATAGGTTAATGGTTCGATAAAAATTAAAAAAAAAGAGTGTATAGTATTGGGGAAATCGATTTGTGTAGAAGAATGGGACAGAATGAGTCTTGGTAGATCTTTCCTCCGAATAATAAGTCTACTCACCTGTGGGATGCCGAATTGTGCAAGCAATTGAAAGAAAAGCGTTCTGATCGTGACAATATCTATTCTCACCTGCGAAGATTAAATTTATCACTTAAAGACCTTCTATGTAAGATGTATGCCCTCAAAAAAGCAAGGCGTAGGCAGTGTTTACTTATATCGACAAACACACTTTAAATACCAGATAAAATAAAAGCAGATCTAAAATTAATTAAATTTGTGGATTTAAGGAATGGATCCTGGAATTGTGACAACTATGGCAACAGTTGTGTAAAATCATGTACAGACTATTTGAAAGAATTAACCGATTTCAAAAGTTGTAACATCATGAGCCGTGAACAATATCAACACCCAACCAAAAAAGCTATTAATATGACTATACGCCATATAAAATTAACTAGACTGAGTGCTATCAAATAGACATCGATCTCAAAGAGAGAAGAGAAAGTAATATGACATAAAAAATAGGAGACTCACTAGTAAACTCGTTTAAACATGTACCATAAGAAGTAATCCTCCAACAAAAGAAGAAATGAATTCTTACCGTGGTTTGAAGCTAGCTTCAATTATTTCCCTTGTCAGTAATTGGCCTCGAAAAGGAGCATACATCTGTGGGCATACAGGACAAAGCATAAAACTGATTCTGAAAAGATTTAATTCGGTTGTTAATGATCAAGTCGCCGTAGTAGATGAGTATAAGTCGACCATCACTTGTAGCTCATGTTTTGGAGTCTCAAAAAACCAAGTCGTGAAAGTTGGAGAACAGAGAATGAAAAGAATGAAAGGTTAGTTACATGCACTAATCATAGCGTGCCCAAGAAGACAATCGTCAACAAAAAGCACGACAGTGATCCGAAACATAAATGGCGCAACCAACATCGCCCTCATTCTTTTCTTGTGTATTTTCAAATAATTTATTGTCACTTCCACATTTTTGAAGAGGTATATGTAATGCCAACAAGAAAGTATAGTTTTTCTTAAAAGTAAGTCAACTTGTCACACCATTATCAATTAGCCAGTTTGGCGACATTGGAATTCCCAGTTGATCCGGAGACTTAATATAATGGATGCCCCCCAAACATGTTGACCACGCCAGTTTCTGTGCGATTGTTTATTGTCTATTATGATACATGTATATATATTATCATTCACTCATAAAACAAACTTTAGTCTTTTTTTTTACATTTAATCCTGTCGCTGATTGAAATTTTATTCTGGGCTTGCACGAATAATTTGTATAAAGCAAGGAATCACTCGTAATAGCTAATTGAATCGAAGTCCTCATTTATGATGCTGACCGATCTAAAAAGACGATCGACTTTATAATTATATCTAAAATTAATTATGAAGATATCGCGGAGACATGCAGCCATGAGAAGAGAGTGCGACCCTCCCGTCTGTCAAGTGTAACAGTCCATCTGTGGGATTTGTCGGGAAACATTTTTTTTTCACAGCTCACAAACACTACCTTATTTATGTAAAAAAAACTGGGGCCCGTTCCTTATCAATACATATTTTAAACATAATGTATTTATAAGAACGTACTGCTCATTTATTTTTGGGAAGAAATTTTGTATCTTAAATAGATTACTCGACTCTTATTTAAACAAAAACCATTTAACCTGATGTTGGAGACACTTACTGTTATAGCCTATACACCAGAATTTGAAGTCACTTTTGTAAAAAAATTGCAAATAATTTACTCAAAAGCTTACAAAATTTAGAAACTAATGAATGTTATAAGCTTTCGCATAACGTATGTCTTCACTGCGTAGTGATCCACTTAAAAATTAAATACATTGACTTAAGAGAATTCTAATAACCCGAGTTTTTCACATTATGCTAGTCATACAATCACAAACTCGATATCACAATTATAAAAGCAAAATTAAAAAGTAATACTACCGAAGAAGTCCGAAGAACTTATCGTGCTGCTGCTCACTTCGTTTTTTTCGTGGTCAATGTCATCTCACGTATAAATAGCTTTCTAAAATAAATCAGTGAAAATGTGCTCCAAATAGCTTAATAACCACGTGCCAAGTCTTACATATAAGCCTGTCTCTCTATTGAAGCAGCAAATTAGAAACAGGTCCTCATGTAATATTTCTAGGATTTACCCACTGCTTTTTCCTGCTTTTCCAAAACTTCTAATTTCACAGAGTGCCTTAGGTGAAAAAAAATTCCTATATTCCAGCCGTAAAGCTCTTTTAGAATTATCCGCAAGTAACTCACAGGATGGGACATTTTCAACTGCTGGATTAGTTAAATGCATACTTTTAAGCACAACAAGAAACTATGGTAACGTGAGAATTTTTTTTAAAGAACGAACGTTTAAAAGAGTATCATTCCCATCAGTAAGAAAACTCTTGTTTCCACTTTCTTGAGTAAAAAACCCAAACAAAAAAGCTTCTTTACGATGTAACAGTAGTACAAAAATAACGGTATATTCCTTGTTTGGTATCATGAGTACATCATCGTGATGTGAATCGAAATATTGGTAATCTCAAAGAACTCTGTAGCTTATATTTAAAACATTTTTACTACAAAAAATGCTATGTGCTTGCCTTTTTCAATCAATTACTGATGTAAAGAATAAAATATACGATTGCTTAGATCTGAATCAGTGCTTTTCTATTGTGATAACAGACCCAAATTTACATATGTGAAAGACGACTGAAATATTGCCAGGCATGGGAGCTTCGGAGTAGAAGGAAAATAGCGGTTATGGGATAAAACAATGCCCAGGGAAAAAGGGTAAATGTGGGGTAAAAGGCACGATGCTCTATAATATTCCTTTTGAGGTCTTCAAACCTGTGGGCCTAATCCATATTGAGAATAATATTTGTGTGTGAGTATAATCATTGTGCGTCAACAACAAAAAGGAAAATAATATATATTTATATATCTGTTTCGTGTTTGTGCTTGCTCTTTTCCTTTTTCTCTTTTTTTTTTCTCTTCAAGTTCATAAATTTATGAGCAAGTCCTTTTAACTCTTATATACGCATAGGTTTCAACACCATTCATTTAGTTTTAACTGCCAATACACAATTTCGCCAAAACATTAAAATTAAATAAATAACAATAACAACGAAAAATACAACTTTCAATAATGGTAGAGTTAAGCCTATATGGAAAAAATGTTGTAAATAATTTTAGCCTTATTGGTATGTGGATTGCCGTACTGATATGTTGTAGAAACTTTTCAGTATGTTTAAAACAATATAAGAAGACCCGAGGCAAAATGTAAGATATTATTCAGCAATTTTACTGAAGGGATATTGATTTTTTTTTTTTTTTTTTTTCGGGATTAAAAAGCCACTTGGTAAATCTAGCTCAAGTCTCAGTACTCTTCGTTCACCGTGTTTTGTATGGACTGATTCCACTGTTCGAAATAAAAACATGCGCTTATTTTCCAGTATTGGTTTCGTAAATATCTTATTTAAATTATGTAAGCCTGCTTTTCTAACATGCACAAATGACATTTTCACTGTAGTCTCTGGCACATAAGTAAGTAGCTTTCTTATTGTTCGTTATCTAGTCTAACCAAAAACTTTGACCCACGTGCTGTAGCTTACATCCTATTTTACGTCGTAATGTTTATGAGACTTATCATTTTGGAATTAGACCGATATTCTCGTTGGATCAAAGTTATTGGAGTATTACTTATCACGTTGCGCTTTTCTGACTGGCCCTATGAACTAGCATTCCACACTATACAAGAAAGATTAATGGATCAAGCACCCCAATCCGGATCCCAATGCTGGGCAGAGTGGTAAGGAAGCTGAGACACCTAAAAAACCATCATTCTGCTATACTAACTATTCTTGAAGGGGTACTGGTGTAATTATACTAAACTTTGTTGGTGACGCATTGGCCAATCTATTTCTTAGTGGCATGTTTGTACGAAGGTATGCTTATACATGCTATTTACTACATCCCAATTAAACCAATATTTTATGGATAACCCAGACTTTTTATACACATTCATGAATCGAAGTCATTAATGACGCATCAAAACAAAGTTATCGAGCGGATTGCTATGAAATCATTAGTATGCTTAGCATTTACATTTGTAGTCAACTTAGCTATGAATCTTTTAAAAGTTACGATGTTCCTAGATGACCATTCGGATGTAAGTTATATTTTTGCCCCATTGTACTACGAGAACGGAATGGAGTTTGAAAGCATTGACTAAATTTATTTATATTATAATAAGGCCTTTACTGTATACTTCGAAATTATAGAATCCACCTTATTGGTAGAGGCCCTCCGCAATGACGGAAGTCACGGTACTGTGCACAGTAACTCTTTCTGTGAAAGCTGTCATAAGGTAAAGTCCCCCTTAAATATAAAGACTGTGTATATATAAAAACTATTTATTAAAAAATAATATATAGGAAATCAGTCAACAAACAAGTCGAACACCCAATGACGATGAGCAGTACCATAGTCAAATGCTTGTCAGGTCATTCCATAGTGACAGAAAACGATACAACGAAGACGACGATCACGCTTTGCATACAGTGTCATCTTTAGAACCAGTCATGTTTCTCGAAAAACATCGAAATGGGTCACTTTCTAATTCCTTGAGGTTTAGCAAAGGCCCATCTAGTTCTATCCTCCAAAATCGAAACACTGCCAACACCCCAACAGAATCTCCCTTACCGTCACCCATAGGCCATACCTTTTTGAATGATGCTTATCCTATGATAGGGCCTACAGAAAGATCTTAAATGTAATGATTTTTGCTGGACCATTAATTTAAATTACATTTTAACAACTTATTAAAACCCCCATCTAATTAGTACAACTGTCATGGCTTTTTAGCTTTTTGTCCAATATTTAAATTGTAACACATAAAATACATCGCGAGTTACACGGGTATCAACGAATAAGCTTTAATACATGGCTATTAGACTTTTTGGTATAGTTTTGACTAATTTTTGTTAAAGGGAAGAGCTGAAACTAATAAGAAATTTAGTCAGCCTTGATTCATTGATTAGTTCTCGCAATTACTAGTTGTACCGAATAAAAAACTTATGATAGAGGCAGCTTTATGTCAAAAACTGGTACTTATTATGCAGTTTTTTCATATTTAGTTTGATAAAAAAAAAAGATGCGGTGATTATATTTGAAAGGAACAAAAAATGTAATTGGCTGTAAGAATTGTAATTAGCACTCAATTCCACGATTGCGTGCTTTGACGTCTTGTTGCGAAACATCATTATTGATCAGTGGTACAGCTTTTTTTCAAAAAAAAAATTACATGTGCCTCCTGTCATTCTTTTTCTCTCGCTTTTTTTTCTTTTTTTATTTTCTTTTTTTTTTTTCTTTTTTTTGCTTATATAAACACACAATCATGACACTAATTCTTGACTATGAACATGTCCCATATACCACAAAATTTAAATCATTTGCCAAGAGCATCCCATCCTATCTAAAAAGTTATGTTTCAAATTTGCTACCCGTAATCTACTGGATACATCGTTACAACCTCACTTGGTTAGTTTCTGACGTTATAGCAGGTGTTACAGTTGGTATTGTCGCTGTACCACAAGGCATGGGATATGCAAAAATTGCTAATCTGCCTCCTGTAAGTTAAATAAACCTTCATACAGTTCTTGTATTAACTTTTATTGCTAGCAATATGGACTCTACTCTTCTTTTGTTGGTTTATGTCTATATTTTTTCTTTGGTACATCGAAAGATATAAGTATCGGCCCAACCGCGGTCATGTCGTTACTCGTGGGACAAACTGTGGCTAAAGTTACAGCTACCAATGAATATACCGGTCCACAAGTTGCCGTTGTTCTGGCATTATTTGGTGGATTCATTACACTATTTATTGGACTCGCACGTCTTGGCATTTTAGTAGATTTTATTCCTGGACCTGCTATTGCAGGCTTTATGACCGGTAGTAGCATTACCATTTCAGTTGGACAATGGCCAAAGCTCTTTGGCATCACCAGTGTCGATACGCACGATTCGGCATATTTAGTATTTGGAAATTTCTTTAAATACTTACCTGAAACTCGTCTCGATGCTGCATTTGGTTTGGTTGGCCTTTGCTGGCTTTACACAGTTCGCTGGGGAACTGGTTACCTTGGGAAAAAATACCCACAACACGAAAAGTTATTCTTTTTTGCAAACATCATGCGTAACGGCGTGCTTGTCATATTTGGGACTTTAATTGCATTCCTTATTAATATTGGAAAAGATACCAGCCCAATAAGTATCTTAAAATCAGTGCCAAGCGGATTTACAGCAATGGATGTACCCTCTATTGATATCGGTCTCTTATCCCAAGTATCTGGTACTTTACCTTCCGTCGTCATTATTTTAATCCTGGAGCACGTTGCAATTGCTAAATCATTTGGTCGAATTAACAATTACAAGATTGATGCTGATCAAGAAATTATTGCTATCGGTGCTGCCAACGTTATTGGAAGCTTTTTTGGTACATACAATAATATATCATTGATGATAATGCATTAACTTATTTTGTAACTGCAGGCGCATATCCTAACACAGGATCATTTTCGAGAACGGCTATCAATGCAAGAAGTGGAAGTAGAACACCGTTGTCTGGCGTATTTTCGGCTCTTGTTGTCTTATTATGTCTCTATGCATTAACCCCAGTATTCTACTATATTCCGGATGCTATTCTTTCTGCTGTCATTATTCATGCCGTAGCTGACCTTGTGTCAGGGCCAAAATTCTTACGCCAATTATTTCGTGTGAATCCTTTTGAATTATTTACATTTATAGCAGCTGTTTTGATTACGTTTTTTACAAGTGTAGAATACGGTATTTATGTATCTGTTGGACTTTCCATTGTTGTCATGTTGCTTCGAATCGCTAGACCTCGGTATGCGGTATTAGGTCGTATACCCGTTCAACCTTCCACTACTTATTACAGCCAAAATGAAAAAGAAGTTATAATCGATAAGAAACAAGATCAGACCGCTGAAAACTGGATCTATGTCAAAAATGATCATCAAGCCTTTAGTCAATTAGTCCAACCACCACCAGATGGAGTCGTTATATTTCGTTTTGATGAATCTCTTACATACCCAAACGCAGGATTTATCTCTGATAAAATTATGCATTATATCCAAGATACATTTCATTCCGGTACGCCACCTCCAACAAACAAAGGTGAAAGAGCATGGAACGATCGCAGGCCTTTATTTCAGACTACGGCTGTTGACCAAGAGACCGACTTGAATCGTATTTACGCTGTCGTATTGGACTGCTCGGCTATAAATCATTTAGATTCCACAGGTGTACAAACGCTACTTGACCTTAAGTTATCTGTAGATCGATTTGCAGGTTATGAGGTTGAGTGGCATTTTTCAAATATAGGTAGTCAAAGTATTCGTAATACATTGATTACAAGCGGATTTGGAAGTCAAGCAGGACGTGGCCCACGTACAGGCGAGCTGTTACCGGTTGTGCCAGTCTATCGCGATGGTCCCCAAAGTGTGGATAATTCCTCAAAATCTACTATAGAAATGAATGAGCAAATCTCAAGCAAAGATGAAGAGAAAGCATATGCCACACATTTTGATCGGGGCCTTCCAGTTGACCGATACCCTTTTTTCCACTGGGATCTAGAAGATGCTGTTCGCGCAGCTTCTCGTGCTAAATTTTAATGTATTATATTGTAAATGTTTATTTTAATACAATTGTCTATTTGTTGTTCATAAGCTCTCAATGTTTTTTGTTTTGTTTTTTTTTGTTTTTTTATTTGTTGGTTCCTTAAACTAAAAAGTAGATAAGGGTAAAGCAGAATATGCCAGAGTAAGCGGGTATACAATAGCAATTGTTTTATGCAAGTGCACATTGTTTTGTTTCAAGGTTAAAAATGGCTTGAACTAAGTATTTGCTACCAGCTAACTCCAGATTATAACTGCCAGATTGTTGATCTTGGGTCATGTTACCGAATTGAACTTTACTAGTTCCTTCATCAGAACAAAAATCGCCCAATTCAACAGTAATACCACTTTGGGTGGGAATTTCCCAAGCGTCACCTCTGGGATCGGTTAATATGTCTTGAATTTCGTGAGAGAAAATAGTGATGGCAGCATCCATTGCAGGTGAGTTGTTTGGTGAAGTGTTTCTATTCACTGTAGGAATACATGACTCAGGACATGCACCTGGATAGCCAATATACATATATTGAAACTCGTCGCTCCAACTGTTGTAACCACAATTGGTTTTGCAAAAATCTGCATCTTGGACATTAGCTGCTCCCATGATAATATAAAGACCACTGTTGTCTAAACGATTGGTTGGTGAAAGATAACCTGAATTGACTGCATCTAAAACAATTTGTTTATGAATGGTGGTAGTCAAGTTAAGAGAATGACTCCCGGCGTCATTAACTGCTGCTGCCAAATTAAGGGGTCCTGTAACTGCTTTTCCGTTACCATCAGTATATTGTTTTACTGTAAAAAAATGGGCTTAGATTCTCGAAATTAGAAGAAGAAAAAAAAACTGTCTTACAAAGATTGAACCATGGACTGATTGAAATATGGTCAATGAAATGCATAAAAGTTGTTTGTTCTTGCTGACTCTGTGGGGAAGACCAGTTACCGTAAAAGATAATGTATACTGAATATAATTAATAATAGTCAAAACACTAGATATATTAAATGTATTACCATTTACTTTATCATGTAGAATACTGCCTCCGGCGTTTTTAAAAGTACTTCCATATTGATTAATGGTATCCGAAGCGCCTGCACCATTGGTTACAGTTTGCTGGGCACTAACAGTAAAGACCGATACAAGAGCAGCAAACAAAGTTAGTAATTTCATTTCGTATGAAGGAAAAGGGGGACAGAAATAAAAACAATCAAACAGGTCTAAAAAGCGGACCCCACTCAATGAGTTTGAAATATCTAATAAAGGTAATTATAGAATTAGCACTTTTAATTCAGACAAATGAAAAAATGTTATTTTTAGACGAGCTCAAAACTAAATTCAGAAATATGATAATAAAAAATTCACTTTTCTTAGGGACAGCCAAAGTGCAGTAGATGTATACAGATATTTTCAGACAGAAATTTAGTCGAAAGAGACCAATCGAAAAATAGTCGATAATATTAGATTTTTGGTTGTTCATTTTTTTAAAAAAAAAATATTGGAAATGGAATCTTGGTCACCCCATTTACAGAAATGGAATGAACATTGGGCAAAATAAATTACAACGGCCCTAAAGCCTGTCACTGAAATTACAAGTAAACTGAAGCGATCTACAGTTGCTTCTCTATAAAAAAAGGCAAAGCTTCATAAAAGTATAAATACGTTATTGGTTTTCTCTCTACTCGAAATTTCAAGAAGCAGGTTTGCAGAATGTACTGAAAAAAGTTGTTTTAAATTATACAAAATGAATGAATATAAGACAACATTTTACTGCCCAATCTGTGAAGCACGTCTGGAGAGCTAAAAGGCCGTTGTAAAGCCCCTCCCACAAAGGGCCAATATGCCCATGTAAAATATAATGGTTTGCTAAGGCAGTTGAAAAAAATCTTTAATGTGAAGCTCAATCTTGGCTAATTTATCTTTCAAGGTGTATTAACAAAACTGTCTATCAACAAAGCGGTAAAGACTACAGATTCGTGACAAAGCAGCTATTTCAAGTTTTAATAAAACTTTGATAAGCTTGAGAAGTCCTGGTAGCCAACCATATCTTCATAATAATAAACAACATATAAACACAAGCGATCTTATACTTTTTGATTCGAAAAAAAAAAAAAAAAAAAAAAAAAGCTATGGGTGAGGTCTACTTGTGTGACTAGTAAAGTAATAGAAACACACGGTGATACATTGCAAACTGTAAAATATATTTAAACCAAAACGAAATTAAATGAAAACAAGCCTTTTACACCCCAATCAGGTTATAAGTGGTAACAGATTCTAATAGTCAATATTTAGTTATTATAGTAATAAGAAAGAGCTTTTAGTAAGACGAATTTATAAAGCCAATAAACAATTCGATTACCTATTCAGCATTGGTCTGAATCAATTTTTGAATTTATCCAAAATTGGTTTTTATTTGTCTGCTTAACACGATATGTTTTCTTTTACTATAAATGCGGGAGGCGTAACTATGCCAATTTGTTTTTCTTTTATGTGTCCTTTCTTTTTTTAATATACTGTTGCTATATACACACGAATCCCCTTGAAAGTTACAAATATAGAAACATGATTTTTTTTCCCGCCAGCATTCAAAGGAGTGTACAACTGGATATTGTTGGTGTGAGTATAATGAGGAGAAAAAGAGAAAAGAGAGAGAGAAGAGAAAGAAAGAGAGCAAAAGAGAAAGAGAGAGAGAGAGAGAAAGCGAGATGGAGGGGGGTTGTATATAAAAGCAGTGATTTCTCAACATGTAAATAAAGGAGTTGTTAACCAAGAGTGTATTCCCCTATATTTTATACATCCTTTTTTTTTTTTTTTTGTATTCTTGTTCTTTCTTTTCTCTTTTCCTTCTTTTATTTTAAAATGGTTTCTACACATCCTCGTGGGTCTATGGGACATTCTTCTAGTAAATCAAGAAAAAGAACCTCTTTACGTAGACTGTCCGAAAAGACAATAATAACAACACCAGCATCAGTTCAAGAAAAGCAGCGTTCAAGATCTGTTTCTGCAGGTACAATCCAACAGACTATTATACAACAACCTTCTACTCCAGCTGTTGTTGAAATGCCTCGATTATCCATTGCAGACCGATTCATGTCTGGTCCTATACCTTCTGTTCCTCAACCATCACCTTCAATCTCAATCACTACTTCACTTGCATTATCAAACTCGACTTGCTCAGAGATGGTGGTGAATAGTAGATTATCTGTAGCCGATCGATTTATGAATAACAATAATAATAGTAACAATAATTCGTACAATTATTCAACAAGACCTTTAGAACCTATGCCTGGTAGACTAACTATTGCTGATGCATTTATGAAAATGGATGGATCACGTGATAGAGCCTCATCATTTAATGAGCTTGAATCAAGTCGATATTCTAATAAATCAATGCATCCGCTTGAAGAACAAACATTGTTTGACGAATCGTCACAATATCTTAACCTGGATTTAACAATTTTACCACCAGCATCATCATCGTCGAGCTCAGTTTTAAAAAATAAGCCTTGGGGAAGCCAGGACACATTAGTTCACCATTATCCTCAAGAAAGAAAAAAACCAATTTATGCACAGTTCATTGAATCTGAAAAGAATGCCACCATATCTGATAACAGATCTTTTTCTTTGGATTATAATGACTCTCCTGATCATGCAATGAGTGATGATCTTTCAACAAAACATGGTTACGACGATTATGACGATATTGATATTGGTTACGACAAGCATTATGGACATGAAAGACAATGGAGTTATGAAGAAGAAGAGGAAGAGGAAGAAGAAGAGCCAATACCAAGTCCAGCCGTTTCAACCACAAAATTAAAGAAAGTTACACCTCCGCCTCCACCTCCACCTCCACCTGCTCCTGCTGCACCACAGATAATAGATATTGAACAACAACCCTTAGATGACTATGATAACAATGCAAGAGGATTTTGGGTCGGTTGCTGCTTTGTGAGTTGTGGTCAAAGGCCAAGTAGACAAACAATTGAACAACGTCAAAAACAACGTCGTGAAAAAGAAATAGATGATGACATTCGACCAAAGAATCGAGGATTCGGTAGAAGAGGATGGGTTTTTTGCACATTTTTAAGTTTGTTAGTGTTCATATTGATTACATATTTCTTGTGGCCTCGCACGCCTCTAATGCGTATTGAAGGCGCTTCGTTGACCTTACCAGCAAAAATAACTGAAACAAGACAAGGTGTGATGGTCGGAAATGTCGCATTCGAAAGTGAATGGATGGTAAATATCACTGTGGACAACAGACAAAATCATATTCCGACACGTCTCGTCCAAGTACAAGTGTTAGCAAAAGACGCTTTAACTGGTTTAGTCATTGGAAAAGGATTAAGAAATGATGATCCTAACCCTGAACATATCATTTTGGCCCCAAATACAATTTCAACTATTCAAATACCAATTCACGTGGATTATCAAGCACGGGATAGCACTGATACTACTTTTGTTGATCTCAGTAAAGCTTGTTCACCTCAGCAGTTAATCCCTTTTAATTCTCCTGATCTTCAAACAACAACGAGAGAAGCCTTGCCATTACACTTTTGGATCACTTTACATTTCTTTGGTTTAGATTGGTTAGGCTATAAACCAACTGTCATTGCAGCTCCAGCAACTGGTGGGTTTGCCTGCCCGCAGTCTTGATTATTTATTGATATATTATTAAAAATACATGTAAAGAAACATCCCCTCTCTATCTCTCTCGATTTTTTTTTATTTATGCAGGCTCTCTCTTGCACACAACATTTCTATCTTTTTATCTCTATCATCCTTTTTTTCCCCCTTGTGTCTTTTTTTACTGGTGGGTAAAATTATTAATTCCTAATAATAATAATAATAATAATAATAATAATAATACTAATATAATAATAATAAAATATTTACTTGTACGAAGCCATACACATGTATTGTTTTTTGGTAAAAATACGGTATCAAATTGAAAAAAAAAAAAAAAAAAAAAAAAAAAAAAAAAAAAAAAAGCATGCGTATGTTACTAAAGGAGTGAAGACAGGGGCAGATTAGTTGGAATCGTAAAAATTTATTTTAGAGGTAGTAATTGTTTATAAGTAGTCTTATTTTTGACATTTTCCAATTTCTCGTTAATCCATCCCTTAATGCTGTATAAAGAAGAGTGGCCAGTTTTACCTTCTACGGCTTTAAAGAAAGATATCTTTGAATTGATACGAATAAGAAATTCAATTGCATTGAGATAGCTTATACAAAGAGGTCGACCAGCATCGTCACCTAAACTGTCTTTGAATAAGTTTTCCAAAGTCAAATATTCAGGCCCCTTTCGAACATGATCTAAACTCTTGTCCCATGCAACATCATCTTCAAGAAGGCTGTAAACGGAATCGATTACTGGGAAAGATTTACTTGGGTTGTACAAGCTAGTTATTATATGGTTTAGGTTCTTCTCGTAAAGTTCCCGGTAGGATGGTATATTCAATAGTGCAACCATTAGAGGTCTTAATTGAGCACCGCCATAACTATTATAATCTCCTACTGCAATTGCCTTCATATTGACTGGTCCACTTCCCATAACGTAGTCAAAGTCCCAACTGATAAAAATGAACCTGTTTTGTTCAGGTGATTTGTACAGGAAATAATTGTTGGTATTTTGCTGGTATGCATCCCAAGAACCTTGAATAAACTCTAGTGCCATTCTATATATATAAAAATGTATAAATGATTAACAGTCGTGCAACTTTTCCTATTTCTGTATATCTTACCCAACCAAAAACCCTTCAACATCAATTTGTTGTTCCCATAAAGGCTTAGTAGCTTCGATCGCAGATCTATTATTTCCTTTTTGAAATTCAATTTGATCTCGGATAAACTTTGTGAAGACAATCAAATCAGAGAAATCGTTTTTAACTCCTTGAGCGGGATTCTCTGCGACAGAATAAGCAGAAGAGTCATACAAAGCAGGATTGTCTCCCTTGTATGAAAGGTCAGCTCGGTTTTCATCTTTTTTACCTCCCTCTCCTTCATATAAAAGTCCGTTGGAATAGCTTTTAATATCACCAGATCCGAATGTATTAGCCAACCAGGTATCATCGTATTTTTCCAAAAGCGAAAATAAACCAATAGCACGGTCGTTGATAAAAACTCTACACATGTTTTTTGTAAGTACGAATAAAGAAATAATTAATAAATGTTGCGTTACCTGACATGAGATGCTCTTGAACAAGGTTGGTTAGCTGCATAAATCATTTCGGTTGCTAAGTACTCCCGCATGTAACTAGGATCACTGACAGTAGTACGCAACTTAAGCTTACGATAACCGCCTAAGTTCCCTCCTTTTTTTGCGAGTTTAATATTATATGCCAATTTGGTAAAAAGTCTAGAGGAACGACCACCAACTTCAAATCCTACATTTGTAAATAACTGGACAGTACTTGTACTATCATTATGTCAGTCATTAATAGATTTTGTAAAAAAGAGCACGTCATTTACCTTATATAGGTCATATTTGAACTGATAGTGATATCATCAAGGTAATTTTTATGAATGTTATCTATCTGACTGAGCTGCGACAATATGAATTGTTGGGATCTCTCCGATAGGGTGAAGTAACTGATTATCAAAATGGCGATTGAAATTCTTGGGGATACTTTCTATCGTGTCAAACGTGACCATAGACTTTGTGTTCCAGTTTCTATTAAAAAACTCATTGACAGTATCGTTTTGAATAGCCCTGCGGCTGAATGGCTCCCGTTCGATGATTTTGGAAGTTCCTTTTTCAATTTTAACGTAGCTGTAGTCAACATTGGATGGAGCTATTCCTTGCCAGAGAATGGGACTTTTGGAGGAAGGCGAGAGTGGGTATACCTTGTTACCAATTATAACGCCAGTATCAGTATTCGGTGAGTTTACAATTACACTATACAAGCTATCTGCCATAACAGTGGCTACATAAATAAGGGCTTAGTATTTCAGCTTTTGTTAAAAAAGTGAACAAAATAACATACCTAGTAAGGCTATATAAAACCCTAGCTTGGTGATAGTATCTGTTTTCATATTTATTTGAAGATAAAATTGAAAAGTTGTAGAATAAAGAAAAAGGCGAAGGAGGTTTTGAAGCTATTTATATAGGCAATAGCTTAGAATAGCTGCATATTACGGAGTCAAAAAATGAAAATGTCTGAGGTTGGTATGACTGTATGATTACTTTTTATTATTATAACGTCATTGATAAATATATACATGTTTCTCTCCTCATGATCCTGTAATTTGTAAGACCACCCAATCCAATCCTTCATATAATCTGTAGGGAAAATATTAACAACTAATTACAAACAGGTTTCATATGAATTACCCTTCTCCTGTTAATGCAGAACAAGCCTATTTGAACACATGAGTCTTTGCTATTTGATTGATCCCTTATTGTCGTACCTGAATATGCCATTGTCTGTCGTGGAATTTACTTAAACCTAATGCTTCCGATATTTTCGCTGCCCCCAAAGAGCCTTTGACGTCTTGTTTATTTGCAAATACAAGTAAGCTGGCATTCTGTAATTGCTATAACGATGACGTTAGAATTAGAAACAGCCCGAGATTTAAATTCTTACATCGCTCTCCATCATCTGATGCAACTCTTGTTTTGCTAAATTGAGTCGATTGATATCTGTACTGTCGATGACCATAATAACTGCCTATGATATATGAATATCGCGTCTTTTTCTTTTTCTTTTTTCTTTACTTGCTTGCAACTCCTTTGCTTACCTTTGTATCTATATAGTATGTCTTCCAAGTACTACGTAATGATTCCTGACCCCCAATGTCCTACAATAAAAAATACCCCTTTTTTTTTTTAATTATCTAAAGTAAAGCTCTTTGTTCTTTCAAACTTTACCCACATGACAAACTTTAAATTTTTATACTCTACTTCTTCCACATTGCTGCCAATAGTGGGCGTGGTTGTTACGACTTGATTCATTAATCTGTACGAGATGAGTACATTATTGAACAATGTTCCAAGCTTTGCGAACTTACAATTTATATAATATTGTTGTTTTGCCAGCATTATCTAAGCCCACGATGATCATTTTGACCTGAGTCTTGGAGAATAGTCGGTTCCATAAATTGCTAAATAAAATGCCCATAATTAAAAAATATTCAAAAAGAAAAAGAGAAGAAGAAGAGCATAAAGATTTATTTTATTAATAGAATAGTCTATATGCGGATAATTATTCATCCATGTTATAAATGCCATTCCAGTAATCCATGATTTCAGATATTCCTTTTCTTTGAAAGGGATCTACTTTAAGCAAATCATCTAAAATGGTCTTAAATACATGGTTTTCTACTTGGTCACGAATTTGAACCTTTAAATGTTGCTTCATGTCATCGTTAAATGTGACAAGGTTTTTAACCTGAGTGGCATCATCAAATAACAATAGACCCCCAGTTGCAACAGTGTATATGACACAGCCAGCAGACCAAAGGTCAGATAATTCACTACCTCCTTTGTTGTAATAAACTATTTCAGGCGCAGTAAAGGAGGTATAAGGTGATTGTAGTGCTACTGGATTTGAACTCGATTGAGCATAGCCAAAATTACCTAGTCTCCAGTCGGTTGCTTTTGTTTCATGGTCGTAATAAAATGCTTTTAAGTCGATAGCTGAATGAATAATTTTGTGGCTGTGTAAAGTTTCTATACTTTTTAAAATGGAGTAGATAGACCAGATTTTGTAGTCTGCATTATGGTGATCAACAAATGTCCATGATGTTCTTTCAAATAATAAATAATAGAGTGAATTTTCGGGTATCATGGGTGATGTAATCCAAATGTACTGATAGCTGAACTCTGGCGTGGGTTTGCAAAGTACAATCGCCCTTTCACTCTTCATTACATAATTCTCTTCGGTGGATGATGAGCAACGTATTATTCCAAACACAGATCGAGTAAATGTATCCAGATTTGCTGAAGAGAAATAGTGAATTGTATGTTTGTGTCCATCATCTGCATCAAATGTACGAATAGCATACCCTTCTTTCAAGTATGTCACCTTTTCCTCTTCATGAGATGTATATACACCACTAAACAAAAACAAAGGTCCTTGAACATCAGGCTCTAATAAGAGTAATTCATCGTCTGAAAGTTCCGCATAGTCAACCTTATCGTTGATGTATGATAATGGTCTGATGTCAGGTCTATTAAGATCACGATATTCATCAGGTACGTTTTTCGTTTCTTGTAAAATGCTACTAGTTTTACTATGGTTAATAGCACCTAAGTATGGCGTTTCCAAAATATCAGGTTGAATAGATAATGGCATGCTATTATAAGACCTTGATGTCGTATTTTTAGCTCGCTTGCTTCTTTTTGTGTAATATAAGAGTCCTGTCACAAGAGCGATGAAAATGAGAATACCAATTACAATACCCGCAATTGCTCCCCCACTTAAATTGCCTACTGGTTCTTCGCTTTCGACACTACCCGGGCTAGTATCTAACATTTGGACATTATAGCCTGCTGTGTCGTTTCCAGAAACATAATAAATTTCATAGGGTTGACTCTCTGATGATGCTTCTGATGATATTAATGCAACAATTGAAATAGGCGAATTATCATTACTTGAGACATTCATTCTTTTATACACGTAAGATCCGTCGAGTGATTGTGAATCGCTTCCAACATCCAGTAGGCCTCTCTTTTCTTTCGAAAATATTTTACCTTCTTTATCATTTTTGACTAAAAAACGATGATTAATACATTCAATAGGCATAATATAAATATATTAATTACCTTCAGTAGGCCTGGTGTCGCTTTCGGTTGATGTTGTAGTTGCAGTTGATTTTTTGCTATTGTCTTCAATTTTGATGGAAAAGAATAAAAGATGAGATTATTTTCATAAAGTTGAATATCAATCGTACCTTTACTAGTGGCTGATGCGGGCTTGGTAGTTGTAGCCTCTCTGAATGTCTGGTGGGACACAGCTGATGTTATGTTAACCGCAGGGATTGTACCATTATAAGATTGTGCGGGGGTGCTCACACTCAAGTCCGGATGACCGTTACTCATTGAAATGTTTTCATATTTCGTTCCAGCAACGTTATGCACTAATAGATCTAATTCCTCTCTTTCTGGATCATATACAGATATGTAATCTATATTATTAAATGATAGCACCTTGCCAACCGTCCCCCGATTTATTCTAAGCTGAGTCTTGAATGTAGTCTGCGCAAAATCCAATTCGCCTAATCTGTACTCGTCGATTGAATTGGCTTGGATGAGAAAGAGATTTTGTGAACCACCTCCGCCGACAGCCAAAACACCAGGACCAGAAATCTCTCTGGATGTGGAGTCACCCAAATGAAAGTCCGTCAAATTGAGTCTATACTGATTATTGTCGGAAACAATATATGCTAAATGCGATGTGTTATTATAACCTCTAATAGGTAAAAATGAAAACAAAGTCGTATTTTGTAATCTGATGCTCGTTTCAGATAATTTGTTGGAACCAAGATGATATATTGTTGATACGGTGGTATCATAAACTTGTTCGGTAGTGTTGACAGTGCCTTTAAATGAGGTTAGTATCGAAACAAAAGGGGCGCGAAAAATTATTGGATTTACTTTTGAAACTAAGATACATGGAATCAGTTTCACTTGCGTATGCACATAATCCTTCAAAAGTGGCATTAGGATGTCCTTCAATGCTAGATAAAGGGATATTATTCTCTACTGTGCCGGCCGTTCTGTAAGTATAGGTATCATTGTTTTTTACAATGAATCTAAATTCCTTGTTGGAATTTCCAGAACAAATAATAGAGCTGGACATACTGTATGAAAGTTATGGGAAAGAAAAAAACAAAGTTTTTTTATTCTCATGAGGCTTTTATAAAATAACAAAACTGGTGGGCTTAGGGATAGGGATGGGATAAGGAAAACTTTGCCACTGTGTGTTACCTTTTAACTGAAAACATGCGTGTAACACTAGTGTAAAAATAGCACTTTGCAAAACAATTGCTTAAACCTAAAAGTAGTCACATTACATAAATCAATTGTTGAGCCAGATGTATCATTTGTAAAGAATACAAAAACACTATATGATGCAGATATTTGTTAGCTGTAGTACTATAATAATGCAATAAATTTTATTTATAACTTTTCGTTTCACATTAATTCAACGTATATTTGAATGAACAGTTCTCCCGTATTAGTAAATTTTAATACGAAACAAGACGCTGAGTGGAGTCTAAGTTAGTGCCGCAGATTTACACAGATTAATACGAACTATCAGGGTTAATTCGATAATGCATAATACGTTTTTTTATAGATAATGTCTACACGGTTATGTGCTTTTTTTATTAAATGGGTATACATATATAAATCACACAAACATTAGCCCGCTTGGTTTTTTTAAAACTGCTGAAGGCTTTTCATTTTGTGATGAATATTTTAATAATAGATATGAAGTTTATCCCGATAAGTGAGAATAATAGGCTATTTATATATTCCATGCAGGAATTGTGATTTTGTCTTTGATGTAGTTGATATTTGGTTTATTCCTCTTAACAATTCTTGAAATATTACCCAAGGTACTTAATTTTTGCAAGCATTTATTATTACCACAGACTTTTGTGGCTATTAAAGGTCCAGAAAATCACTAAAAATCAGGCGATAATACATCATTTAATAAATGTACTTTCTTCGTAGATGCCCCATAAAAAGAAACGTGTGTATAAGTATAAATAATAAACAATGAATTTATTCACTACTATAAATTATTATGTTATCAAATTCCAGAAGTTCTTGCTCGCTTACAAATTGTACGCTTTTTTCTAGTAATGGCTCGTGACTCTTTACAATTGGCACCAACGACGCTGCTTGTGGTGGTTTTTCATCAGCTATTTCTGGTATATTATCGGAATCAGGCACAAGAGCAAGAACGCAAAGACTAGAACATAGTTGAAATAATTTTGTAATATGTTGGCTTGACCAAGTACGTTTTGTAGCCATTGTTAGAGACTTCAAAGACAGTAAATTACCCTCTGGTGGTCGGTGAATAAAATCAAATGATTTGAGAAAACTATCTGCTTGAATATGTATTTGGCAACTCACAACAGAAAGTTCTTCTAAATAAGGACATTTAGCGATCAATTTTCCAAACGTTGTTGCATCTAATGATGTGAAATTTGACTTCTGCCGACCGACTAGTCTAAGTCGGCGTAAGCATAGCTGTTGGTCAGGTTGAAATGGAACTCTAAGCGCATGGTCAGATAATGTGGACCATCCCGATATAGTTAAATTTTCTAATTTGTTACAGTGAAGTATAAGGTATCGGATAATGTTGTCACGTACGCCCAAAATTTTAATTGTCTTGATCAATGAAAGGTGAGGCTGGATAATTTCTTTTAGTTCGAGAAGATTCCATAGAGTCAATGCACCAGAGGTTGTGTGTTCTTTTGTTAAGCATTGTGGATTCAGAGAAATATCTTTCCAAATAGATGGATGATCACAGTATGTTCTTAATCTTTTGCAGGTAAGTCTTGTATTGGAGACATCATATGGTTCAAGTAAAGTAAGAACTTTCCAAACTATTTCAGTTGGCATTGAAAATAAATAAGAGGACATGGCGTATCTAGTTGGGATAAAAAGTAATGAAAATATGCAAATTTGATAGAATTGGCAGTATATATATAATGCTGAGTCGGCTACAGCCGAAACCAAGAGATCAGGAGAGTTGATTATGATACATAGAAGGAGCTGCTCTTCTTAATCAACTCCTTTTAATTACCTGCTGTCATATGAGTATGTTGTACAACAGCAGACAAAAAAAACAATGATATAATGTGTATACAAATCGTTGATTTTAGTATCATGTCCCTTCCGATCGAAGGACGAATAATTTTCCCTTTTGCCAAGATAACGAGAGATAATTACAGGTTTTTTATAGGATATTTTGACAAATTACTGATTCAGTGTAGCTGTCATCTTTAGTTAATGTTTTTAGGTAAATTTATCATACTTGGCTTTGCTGTTTGATTTTATCACCTCATAAATACATTGCAGCTTCTCCTTTTTATGCACAATCTGATCCAAAATATAGGTTCATTCGCATAATATTGATAATGTATACTCAAACATTCAAACTAGAATAATTGTTTACTTGTTTTGGGTTGACAACACTATTTAAACTTCATTAGTCTTACTAAATGGCTAACCAAATATATAGAGTGTCTAGCCTCGTAACTTAATTAAATATTCTTTTTGGTATTTAATCAAAAAAAAAAAAAAAAAAAAAAAAAAAATTCGATTATCCAGACCAAAATAATTTATAGCTTACCAAAATTCTCACAGTACTAAACAAGTTTTAACTCTTTAATATGTGGGATGTTAAAATGTCAAAAAAAAAATGTTGCCAAAGTCAGGGATTTTAATATGGTGGCTTTAGATACCAGTTACGAGCAAATATTTTGGCACAAACAAGCAATAATATAGTCACTATAAGGTATGCTATTAAATTAGCTTTATCATAACTGTGTAATGTCAAGGAACTTTCAGGTCCGGAAGCACCTGAAACTTTTTGTGAAATAGATTTTACTTTTTTCATTTAGCCAGTCTTCTAGGTTTTTTTTTTTTCATATTTTTTGATTTAGAATTCTATGCTAATCTAATGTATACCTTTTCAATAGCACGTTAATTGGTCAAAATACCATTTAAGCACCCCTTACCCACCGGGGTATATATCAGATTCTTGATACTTACGCGTCGCATATCCGGCTTTGCATCAAGTTATTAAGTACTTAAATATGGAATTTAGTATAAGGGGATATAATGAGAGCCGCCAAAAATGATCTTTTTGTTTTTTGCGTGTAGACAATCGTTGGGTAAAATAAAGTTTGAAATATCTGAAGTTAAAATATTGTAATGTACATGTACAAAAACGGAGTCTGAAGCAATTGTGTAATGAGGGGAGAACAATTAACTGTGGGGTCTGGCTTTCCTATCTTTCTTTTTAATATCTGATTATGTCTACAAGACACGCCAGAGTGGCAGACAAAGAATTGAACGATAAACACACAAGAATATTAATAGAGTTACTACGACGAATTGAAAACAAGACATGTGCTGATTGCAAAAAGAAAGGTAACAATTAACTTGTTTGAATCAAGATGATGAAATAACCTTGATTCATTTTGTCTTAGATCCTCGTTGGGCCTCATGGAATTTAGGTATCTTTGTTTGTATTCGTTGCTCGGGTACACATAGATCCTTGGGGACTCATATCAGTAAAGGTAAATAGTGAATTGAGAAAATACGAGTGGGAAAAATTAACCATACAATTGCAGTCAAATCAGTTGACCTTGACACATGGACAGTTGAGCAAATCGAAAACATGATTAAATGGGGTAATCAAAGGGCGAATATGTAAGTGTATTTATAACAATGAGGACGGGCAGAAGTGCTAATGCAAAAACCACAAAAAGTTATTGGGAAGCCAATTTAGATGGTAAACAGCCAACTGATAGCAATATGGATTCTTGGATTCGAGCAAAGTATGAACAAAGGTTATGGGTTAAAAATGATGATTGCTCTGATCTGTCCAAAATTGCAGTGAATTTTGTGGAGGAACAGGTAGTCAAGGGGTACTCTCTAAATTAATACACACTTACAAATATTCATCTGTCTAGAAACAGGATGCAGTTGCTATTGAAGAACAAAAGCCAGTAATTACTCCTGTAGTGAAAGATCTCTCTAAAGAATTCGGCCTTCTTTATCACAATTCAATTAAAAATAGATCAGATGAAAAAAAGGAAGAAAAAAAGGGCATTAACTCGCCTGTCACTAAGGCATCAGTTAAACAACAGAACCAAACAAGCACCTACACAACTAGTCACAAAAAGGTAGATCTACCCACTACAACCACTAGTACAGGCTTCAAAATGGATATGAGCTCATTTCAGCAACAACTGTCGGGTTTATCGTTAGGAAGGCCGTCATCAGGCCTGATTCCTCAAGCACCTCCAGGCAGCAATACATCTTGGACCAATTTCTTAGTTAATCCAAACGGTAATTCCTCCGATGCTACAGAAGGTAGTAGTTTAACTGGAAAATAAACTTAAGACTGTCTATTTTATTATTATTTGAATCTTTAAATGTAACGACTTTTACTCTTTCCATTCTCCAAAATTCAATATCATTGTTATGTGTTACAGACAATACAATTAATAACTGTATTATTAGACGTCCTATAAAAATCTCTGTCTTGCCATATTTATCAGCTACACTTAATAAAATAAATCATTACCGGGTGACTTTTAGAGAGACGCGTTTCCTAAAGTTTTCACACTGTAAAATGCCATCTGTTGATACCAAACTTTTTTTTTCAACTTGACGGAGGGGTGCTAGTCCAAGCTCGAAAGAAACAGGTTCTCAACTTTCAATAATCTTATTTTAGGTTTAAACTACAAATCTCGGAATGCATTTGCCCTGAATTTAAGGTTTATTAAACTCAAATACAACCAATCAAACACCTGAAACATTGCTTTCACGTGATTATCACGTGATTTTTTGTACTATTTAATATTACATTGTGTTTATGTCTTGTTTTAATTTAATATCAAAGCGCGGTTGGTTAAGTCTTAACATTAGAAGTTTATTAATAATCGCTTATTAAAATATTGTATCAAGATCCCATTAATCGGGCAATGTTTGGATACGAATATGAGGATTTGGGGGGTGTGTTGTTAAAAATTAAAGCCTCATAAGGAGTAAAATTAAAAAAAGGGGAAAGGGTTTGTTTGTAAATAATAAAAGTAAATAAAAAGATCAATTTGACAGATTAGCATGATTTCGAATTGAATTTCAGCTAGGCCGTCGGTTTTGCATGAATGGGTTACGAGATGAGAAGTCAGAAAGTCATAGCGTTGGTCAGTGATGATTGGTTGGTGAGGATTTGGAGAGAGATTGAGTGTTATTCGTGTGAGAGCGGATTTGAGTGACGTAATAGTAAGCGGGGGAAAGTGTTGTGCGTAAGAGGGTTTTTTTTTTTTTTTTTTTCCCTGTATATTTTTTTTTTTTTTTTTTTTTTTTTTTTTTTTTACAATGCACAATGCACTATTCCATAATCCACTTGTAGAAGAGAACACCAGGATCGGGTTCATCGACGAAAGTTTCTTGGGTTTTGTGACAGATCTGATCAACGAGGAATAGAATGTTGAGGAGATCGGTCCAGAGAGGTTGCCATTTGATTATTAGATTTTGTTTTTCAGTGATGGACTTGGGCTTGTTAGTTGGGAGTGATTTTAATATTGCGTCGATTGGGTTGATATCATTATGGAATCCACGTTGAATATTTTCCCAGTATGTCTCGGGGATAGCTGGACATATAAGCAAGTGATTTCGACTCATGTGACCGCCACAGTGACAATTCGGCTTTCCACCAGGTAACCAATTCATGCGCCACCTAAGGAGTCGCCTACGTTCTTTTCTAGTCATAGGAATTGTGAGGATTGGATCTATTTTTAAATCAGATCTGCAGCCTTGTATCATCTTTTCCGAAGAATTGATGATGGCGTTAGATCTGTAGGAAGAGATTGTGTGAGTAAGTTTTCTAAAGATGGAGTTGGGAGAGTTATCTTGTTGTAGTGCTTGGAATATTGGATTTTTGTTTTTGATTAGGTTTAGCTTGCTATATCTTGTGTTGGATTGAATAATTTTGTGGATTAATGAATCGGATGGCAGAGAAGCGGAGCGGATTAAGTATTTGGAGTTTAGGGTGTACCATCGTTCGACCATACTTGGAAGATTGACCATAACCCGTAGTGATTTGACAGATGAGTTGGTAAACCCGCCGACAATCATCCGAAGACAGTCATCTTGAAGGCGTTCCAGAGCTGCAAAGTTAGTTGTTTTGAAATTAGATATACACAAACCATATTCGATTTTTGGTCGGATAAATTGCTTGTATATAATGATAGAAAGTAATAAAGAAAAACCATTTGTGCGGGCACCAATTTGATGGATTCGATGCATGCTGTTGTTGACTTTTTGTTTGAGGTTATTGATGAATGCTTGGGTGTCCATTCCAAGGTGGTTGAATTGAAGACCCAGGTATTTCACTGTGGGGGCGGTTGGTAGATCAGTGTTGTATAATGTAAATGTTGTTGAGTATGTTGGAGATGATATGACGGTGCATTTTGTTGGCGACCATCGATATCCATTCAGTAAGGAATGCTCTTCACATAGGTCTAAAAGATGTTGCATTTTATTTGGAGGTGATATCAGGACAACATCATCGGCAAATAATAGGCAGTTGATATCTTGTAGATTATTGGATTGATGAATTTCACTCAATTGTTGAGGAAGCGAGTTGATAAATATAGAGTATAGATGGGGGCTGAGAACGCTGCCTTGTAGTACTCCAGTGATTGGTTGAAATTTATAGGATTGGTGATTTCCATTGATGACTTGTATGTTGACTTGGTCAAATAAATTTTTCAGAATATTTAGTAGTCTAGGATTGCAGTTTTTGTTGTGCATAGTATTCCAGATTGTATTACGTGGGCATTGATCGTATGCTTTTGCAACGTCAAGTGTAATTACTGCTGGAGGGGTGTTGTTGTTGTTGATTTTAAGTCGATGCATTAATTCATCAAGCACTACGGCGTGATCCATGGCAGACAATTTGGGTTTAAACCCTCCTTGCTGTATGCTGATGAAGTTTGTTTGTTGGTATAAATGATCTTGGATGCAATATTCCATGACTTTTCTGAACGTTGATGTCAGGCTGATAGGTCTATAATTGCTGGGCTGTGTTTGATCACCGGCACCTTTATAAATAGGGACAATTTGGGATTGACGCCATATTGCGGGTGTGTATCCAGTAATCCAGCTTATTCGGAATAGGTGGTTTAGTATTGTTGAGGTAGAGTCGATGATGGGTTTGATCATTTCGGATGTGATGTGATCGCTGCCCGGACTCTTTTTATTGGGAAGCCTTTTAATAGCGTTGTAGATATGATTTTCTGTGAAGGGGCAGTCATGAAAATCATAGGTATTAATAGGTTCTGTTGTATTGGTATTAGTATTGTTAGTAGTATTAGTATTATTAGTAGTATGTATTATATTGTTTTGAGGTTGTGGTAGGTTTCTTCCGTCGAATATACCCTCTAGATACTGTGCCATAGAGTCAACAGCATGTTGTGGGCCTTCTTCAGTTGTATACCTATGTGTGTTTTTGTTTTTTGATTGTATTATTCTTTTAACAATTGGAATGGCAGCAGTGGGATCATCATCCAATTTTTCACAAAATTTATGGTATGCTGCTGTGCGCGCTTGTTTGACTTCTTTCTTTAGATCTCGGTCAGCTGCCTTATACCTACTCCACCATAAACCCGATTGGAACCCAATTGATTTACGCCATCGTGTGTAACAGGCTTGTCTAAAGTTTGCTCGGCCTTGTAGGGATTTATTCCAGAACCATTTCCAGTTTTTCGGCCTGTAATCTGCTTCTGTGATAATAGTATCAAGTGAGTAGTAAATTATATTGTATAGTTCTTCAGTAAAGTATTCGATTGTGTCGATATTTTCTTGTTGATTTTCTATAATGGTGGATGAGATATCTGCGATTGTTGCAAGATATGTTTGGTATGCTGTCAATTTGTTGATCAAGTTTTTTTCTTGGATTTGATTTTTGAAAGTGGTAATATATGCAGTTGCTACATCATGGTCGATGAGTCTGTTGATTTTCCATCTTTTTCTTTGTTGTTGTTTGTTTTCTGATTCGGTTGATTTTAAATTATCCCATATAAATGATAAGGTCATCAATTTATGATCGGATCCAAGGATAGCAAGATCATCACGAATATCGAGGGTGGGTTGTTGTAAGTCTTGTGGGCTAAGAAAATAGTCGACAATGCTATTTTCTGTTGTGTTGTTATGTACCTGAAAATTAATTCGTGTATATTTTTGTATTGTAGTTTAGCATTCCAGTTAATGATACCGTAGTCGCGTATAATTTTGCATAATTTTGTTCCCCTAGTGTTCCATCGACTATCACCAGTGACTTTACCCATACGTGCATTGAGATCACCACAGATAATGACATTTGATGATAAAGGAATGGATTCTATAATTTGAATTGCTAGGTTATTTTCTAAGGAAGGTGTGGGGGGTAAGTAGAGACAGTATATTTTTAAGTTATCTATTGTGCAGATAATGTAGTATTCGGATTTTGTTGTATCCACATAAAGTTTTTCATATTTTAGATTGGGTTAATAAATAAGGATATACCCCTTTCATGACGGTAAGAATTAGAGACTGGATGTCCATATTGGTGATATTGAGTCCAGTCAGTTGGTAAATTAGAGGCTGATGGTGGCAGCCAGGTTTCAGTATAAATAATAGGTCGGTGTTTTTACAGTAGAATATAGTAGAGTCAATGGCTTCCTCGCGGAGTTTACCATTGGCGTTTATGCAGCTTATGTTGAGTTTCCTCTTCATAATGCTTCATCCATTTCTGTTGTTTGTTGTTCTGTTGGTAGATTATTATTTTCAGGGTACTTTCATCTTTCTTTTCAGTTGGAGAGGGAGTAGCTGTTTTATTGCTGGCAGTAGTATTGTTTGGTGTGGGTGTATTGGTATTATTTTTTTGTTTATTTGTTTGTTGTTCGAATTTTTTATTCCATTCGGTGATAAAATTTTCATGTTGTTCTGTTGTTATTAATTTTTCCTTTACGAAAAATGCTGCTACGGAGCGAGAGATATGGTTGCGGATGAATGGCAATGCACGGACAATGCGT